AAGACATAATTAATGTAACAAAATGATAAACTTGGAAATGCAACGTAAAAACAGTTAGTTTGTGTAATGTTCCTAACCGTTTCAATAGGGAAACGGTTCGGCATTCTTTTCCACCAGGATCGGTCCATCACTCTAAACGTGTGTTTAGACATGAAAAGAACACGCAGCCGGTGCTTTTGAGAGTTACTCTCGAAGCCCTTTGCACGGGAGAGTGAACTTTGTCCGAGTACACTGTCAGAGTGCAACTCTCGAGGCCGTCTCCGACTATTCACACACGGTCATTTCTGAGAGTGTTTTTAAGTTGAAAAGATGTCTTCAATACGAAAACGAGAAGTTGGAGAAGCAATATTATTTTTGTGCTTATCGAAAAAAAAAATCCAAAAACAAAGTGGTTATGTCCTGGATACAAAGGCGGAATCATCTAGGTACTTATCGCTCTTTAGCACGCGAGTCGGAACTTAAACATCTCCGCAGATTTTCAATTGTTGGAAATGTAGACAATTACTTTGCCATGAAGATCACTAATATCACACACACTTACAAACTTGCTCCCACATGGCCTTGGAACCTTCTGATATAGAACTCATATTGGAGAGCTACTAATGAGTAGTTTCTCTACAATTCTGTTAATATCGTTATACTAATTAATAATTATTTATTTTAGTTTTAGTCAATAGAGTTGTAAATTTCAATGAATATATTAAAAAAAATTAATTGCTCTCAAGTAGAGAATTATATCAAGAAAACGAAAAACATTGGCATAAGAAAACATATCAACTTTTTCCCAAGTTGAAAGATATTTTAAGAAAATGAAAAACATTAATATATAAAAATATATTAACTTTCTCCCTCATAGGAAGTTAATTAAGTGGATTTCCAAAAGGATGGGATTCAATTCGTTAATTTCAATGAGCTTGCAAATATTCTTCGAAGTCCATTTTTTTTATTGGATTTGGCCATGCTCTCAGCAAATACAAATTTTTTAAAATGATTAAGAATATTCTTCGAGAGGGAGGAGTAAATTTTTACACCAGTGAGGATGGTGCAATATTGCACCTCTCGGAGAGCTCCTCCTCTACTTTCGGCGAAAATTCTCGGAGGTGTTTACACTTGCGAGCTTCACCCTCGAGAGTAAAAAACTTCTCACGCCTAAACGCACTTTGTACCAGATATAATCCTTATAATTCTGGTCAATCACTTACTGTTGGTATGAACAATTCAAATTCAAATTAAAGATTATGATGATTTTTAAATTTTAATGAAATCTTGTGGTGTTTCCCAATAATTTGTATATTAATACATTTAGGTTAATTCTCAGAATTTTTAAAATAATCTTTAGTTAAGAATGTAGTTAATAAGCGAATTGGAGATTTTTCTTTATGCTTCGACCTCTTTGGCTTGTTTATATACTATGTGTCAAAGGTTACCTTACTGTTTTGGGTGATGGTTGTTTAGTAGTTGCGTTAGTTGAAATTAAGTAAGTCGTTAAAATTTCCAAAAATGTGCGAGCAAATAGTTACAGTTACCGAACTTATTGGATTAAAATCAATTCCTGTCCCGATTCACATGGGAACAACTGTGGAAGAAGTTTTAATAGTAATTTGCCGCGAATTAAAAATAAGCCCCATTGCAAGACATTTATTTGGCCTGCGTTATAATTCTAGTCAGTGGATTTCATTAAGCACTAAATTATGGGGCTTTCGTGTCAGTTCTTTTGAATTGAGAATTAGGTACAAGTTTCCTGATTTATCAAAAGTGCTCGCATTAGATAAACCCACGTTTAACTATTATTTCTTCCAAGTTAGGAATGATTTAATATCGTATAAGATTAATGAAGTAAACTATGAAAAACACAAAGATAGCCTTCTGGGGTTGAGTGTTGTTGACATGTATAGAGTGATGCTCGAGTCGGGTAAAACAAAAGAAGTAATGTTGAATGATTACAAAAAGTACATTCCCAAGGAGTTAATTAACTATCATAAATTTTTTTTGAAGAAACCAATCAAAGATAAATTAGCTAAACTTGAGCAATCTGAAAAAAGGGACTTATCTGTTATCAAGCAAATGTATTTACAGCAGTTTGAAGATATGGTCCCCAATTATATGATAGAAAGTTATAAGGCGAAAATGGATGAAGGTGGTATTGAAAAAGACGTTACTGTTATGATTCACCCTTTTCACAAACAGTTACCTGGAGTTCAGTTTCAATATACGGGCAAAGATGAGGTACTTACTTTCATACTTATTTTATTTACAAATGGTATGTGTTTTAGTTAATGACACCAATATAATCCTAACTAAATTTAAACTTTTGAGAATAATTTATAAATTGTGACTGTTTTAGTTATATACCATGATTCTATTCAAATTAAGTTAATCCTCATCAGTTGTAATACCTGGCACAACTTAGTGAGAATCACGTATTACGTTTCACGGGTTAGATAGAGAGTAGCAGTATGTAGATTTACTGCCTTCACCTGTATTCAGATTGTACTTTCAGTCAATTGTGTGCTTATGGCTGATTCCTACTTAGTCTTAGGATTATTGCATTATGTTTACTTCTTGTCCTATTTAAAAAAATGGGGCTGTTCTTTCTTAATTGAAAAAGAGGTAACACTGTACAAATGTCACTCCACCTTCTCAGTGGGCCAAGATCCCTTTATTACTAGTCATTTTATTAGTATTATAGGTTAAGTTAAGATTGATTAACTTTAATAAATATCTTTAAAAAAAGTTACAGATTTTGCTAATCAACACAATATTGTTTATAACCATAAAACATCTGAACACATTATATTATTTACATATGATATGGATTGTTCATAAAATTAAATTAAATCATATGGGTTGTCCTACTCCTACATCACTGCCTCCCAGAGACACAGTCGCGACAATGTTTCTCAAAGACTGAAATATAATGTAAACTTTAGAAAAATTCTCTCCAAGTACCGAGATGGAAACTTCACTGAACTACCACTACGCGTGGTTTGTATTAGTGGTTTACTGGTACTGGGACTTGAACAGGGTTCATAGTATCTTCAGGAGAAGTTTGTGCAGAACGTTGGTCTGGTTCTGTTGTATAAAGGTCAGGTTCTTCTGGTGATGCCAAGAGATAAGCCGGCTTTAGGCGGTCTACTGATATGTTTGTTTCTCTGTTATTCAATTGCAATATAAAAAATTTGTCAGGTCTGGCAATCACTTTGAATGACTTGTTGGTCTTTAGCTTCACTGGAACAGGTTTCAGTTGTCTCATAGTGTCTTGTAGTTGCGATACAAAAGTTTCTGCATCGTTTATGCGTTGAGCTGGCTGTCCAAGAAATTCACCAGGCGACTTGATAGTGATGCAAACAGTGGTTAAAAATTGTGTAAAGGAGACACCAGTATCGGGATTGAATGAGGCTCGCCTAAACCTAGAAGAATCGTTGGTAGGGCTTCTGACCATTTTAGAGAACCATTTGCTCTCAGAGCAGTTTTCAGGGTGAGATGTAGTCGTTCCACTTTCCCATTACATTGAGGGTGGTAAGGATTTGTCCTCCACAATTTAATTCCACATAAATAACTTAGGTTTTTTAATAGGTTCAACTCAAATTGTCGACCTTAGTCAGATGTGAGCGAGGATGGGATACCAGAGCATGCTATCCAATTGTCATAAAATGATCTGGCGACAACTTCTGCCAGTGGTATAGCTTCCATCCAATTCGTAAAACAGTCTATCGCAATCAGTAGATAGGTGTTACCATTTGAAAGAGGTAACGGGCCAATCAGATCGATGTTTACATTAGAAAATCTCTCATCTGGCGGTTGAAATATTCCAAATGGTGATTTTGTGTGTCTTATCACTTTAGACTTTTGGCAAGCTATACACGATTTTGCCCAATCACGCACATCTTTGTTAAGATCTGGCCAAACAAAACGAGCACCAACTTATTTGACTGTTGCTTTTACACCTGGGTGATTTAAATTGTGAATTTGTTCAAAAAACAATTGATTTGAGGTATGAAAGGTCATACAGATTCAGTATAAATGTCACACCACAAACGGTTTCCTCTTGGCAGTTGATAAGGTTTAAGTTCTAGTGATGTTCCACCATTCTTCACTGGCAGAAATGCAGGATCACTGGCTTCGGCTTCTTCTACTTTATCCATATCGATGGTGCTGACAGATTCGATTCTAGACAGTGTATCAGCAACCATGTTCAGTTTGCCATTTATGTGTCTAATGTCAGTGGAATACTCAGAAATGTATTGTAAGCGTCTTAGTTGCAACGGGGTAGCCTTTTCATTTTTTTGCTTGAAGGCATAAATCAATGGACGATGATCAGTGTATATTATAAACTGTCTTCCTTCAAGGTTGTGTCTAAAGTGTTTGACTGATTCGTAGATGCCTAATAATTCTCGGTCATAGGTGCTGTAGTTTTTTTCTGCACATTTTAATTTCTTAGAAAAGAAAGCAAGTGGTTTCTACTTGCCATCTTCTAGTTGTTGCACTACTCCTCAAACTGCCTAGTCGCTGGCATCAACAACAAGAGCCAAAAGTAAGTCTGCACTGGGGTAGGAAAGCATTGTTGCACCCGCTAAGTCCATTTTGCATTTTTCAAATTGAGAAATGGCTCAGAAGTCCAAGAAATTTTTCTATTGTCATTTTTTCGAGCTTCTTTTGTGTTTCATGGAGAATAGCTTGGGTTTTAGAAGCTTCTGGTAGATAGCTTCTATAAAAATTAATCATACCGAGGAATCGGCGAAGTCCAACAATTGTTTCTGGGAGTTTGAAATCCAAAATAGCTTGTACTCGATCAGGCAATGGCTTAGTACCATCGGGTGTGATCAGGTAGTCTAGGAACTGTAGTTTGGGCACACCGAATTCCGACTTTGAAACATTAATGTGAAGTCTATATTAATAAGTTTTCAAGACGGTCAAAAACTAGTTTGAGGTGATATTGATGCTCCTCTTCTGAACTTGAAGCTATTAAGCAGTCGCCCAGATATGGAAATGCGAAATTCAGGCTATTGAATACTTCATTGATAAATCGTTGAAAAGTACTCGGGGCATTTCGAAGGCCAAATGGCATTACATTATATTCAAACATACCAAAGGGTATGGTCACAGCTATTTTTGGCTTGTCTGCTTCAGCGACGGGAATTTGAAATATGAAATATGAAGTAGGCCTTAAATAAATCAATTTTTGAAAAAAATTGTTTTTTATAAAGATGTTGAAAATCTATAATTCTTGGTATTGGATATCTATCTGGAATGGTTTGTGAATTAAGTCTCCTATAATCACCACATGGACGCATTGAGCCATCCTTCTTGGGTGCCAAGTGCAGTGGTCTCAACCACTGTGACTTGCAGGGACGTATAATTCCATGGTTTAGCATAAATTGAAATTCTTCTTTCGCGATTGCTAATTTTTTTGTATCAAGTGGCCTAGGATGGGAATGAATTGGTTGACCCGTTGTTACAATATGATGTTGAACATTGTGTTTTACTGCCGTAGGTAGTAAACTTGGTTTAGTTAGATTTGGGTATGATTTTAATAATTCATAAAATGTATACGATTTGGCCACATTGCTTATAAAATTGCTTTTATCGACTGCTGAATCATTACCAATGACTCCTAATTTAGTGTTACCATCAATTAATTGATTATTTCGTAAATCAACCAAAAGGTTAAAATGGTATAAAAAATCGGCACCTAGTATAGATCTGCTTACTTTGGCTGAGATAAAAGTCCATCTGAATTCTCGACGAAGTCCCAAGTTGATATTTAAAACATTTTCACCAAACGTGGGAATCTCCTTGCCATTTGCTGCATACAATTTAAAATCTGAAATGTTATTTCTACTTTGTGCCTGAGGAGGAACAATGGACACATCTGCTCCACTGTCTATTAATAATTTTATACCTGAATTTTTATCTATTAAAATTAAATTAAACTTACTGCCTCTGATATCGTCGTCTGCAGTAGATTGAGCCACTACTTCTACTACAGTTTCCCTCTTGATTCCATTGGCAAGGTTGCTGGCACTTTTCGGGTAGACATCTTTTCCCAAATCGGTGATGATAAAAACAATATTTTCCGTTCGGATTGAAGCTCCCTCGGGTACAGCTGCGACTTCGGTTTCTATTGAGAAATTTCCTGTTACTATGGTGATCTGGACAATTACTTAGACTTTTAGAATCCTGTATAGAGGAAATACAGGCATCCATAGCTTCTATTTTGGTAACAAGCTGTTAATTCATCTGTGCCACTATTTGAACAAGTTTCTTTACAAACTTTAGTACTAGACATGGCAGCTAAGTAATTAACACGTTAGCTGCAGTTATGGTCCCTGGTGTCCGATAGCTTTGTATCAGATATAATGATTATTTACGTTTGCATCTATCCAAGTCCCATTCAAATATTTTTAAAAACGACCATTTTACAGACTTTGTAAGATAGGCAAAGTTCGAAACAATCCTGACTGAAATCGAGACGAATAATTAATGCCCTGATTTTAACTGAAACGGACCAGTGGTTAGTTAAATGAAGTCTTTAATCACAATTAGGAATCTTGGCCCACTGGAGAAGATTTAGTGGCATTTGTACACTGGTACCAAAAAAAAAAATAATATTCTTAACTCTTAACATATATTCGTCTGGTGATTTTTTGTACTGCAATTCACAAAATGCCTGTATGTCGGCAAAATGCCGCCATCTCTTTATCTATGTTTGGTAAAAATTAGAATTTAATTTATTTAGAATTAAAAAAACAAGAATTAATTAATTTCTGTAATATACAAATGACGAATTTTCGTCATTTGGCTAGTGGTAATTGTTTGTGAAATTTTCAAAACGATATAATGTCATTTCATACAGTATAAAAATCCTAAATAATTTAAATAAACTTTCAACTGAGTCACAGCGTCAGTCAACTGTTTCCCTTTCCATACATAATTTTCATCTAAGTATTTGATTTTCCTCTTCATCTTCCAAGTCTCTTTAGGTACTCCATGTTCAAGGTTCTTAATGAAAGATCTAAGAAAATTTACAAAGTGGAAGTAAGGTTTACAAGTTGGATGAGTTGAAATTTAGTAGAGTCCGTCCAAGATAAATTTACTGGTGGGGAAAGGGGGAGAGATGCAGAGTGGCAAAATATTTTCCTGCCAACCTTCAACTCTTTTTCAATCTTTTTTGCAATTAGAAATTTCTTTTACCATTTTTGTTTTTCATTTCTTTTACCAATTTTCATTTAATATTTCAAGTAAGTTTCGATTTTGAAAAAGCCTTTGACTTATTTAACCAGGACATCTTGTGGAGAATTCCTATGGCATGATATGGCAACCCTAAAAAGATAATAAACCTTGTTAGGAGCTCCTTTGATGGATATGAATGCCGAGTCATCCATGAGGGACTGCTGTTGAATCGGATAAGGATTGAGACTGGCGTGAAGCATGAATGTGTGCTTTCTCCAACTCTCTTCATCGTCGTTCCAACAGCATCATGAGAACTATGCTTGAGGTCAAAGACACGGAATCCAGTGGGGTCTAAATGAGAGGTTTAAAGATCTCGACTACACCGACGATTTATGCCTTCTTGCACAGCCGTTCAGTGATCTGCAGGACAAACTAGTTGCATTTAATCGAATCTCCAACCGATTTGGAATGCGGATCAATGTCGTTTAAACAAAGGAAATGAGAGTAAATAAGCAATGTCGGATCCACTAATAATCCACTTGTTCTGAGGAAAAATACTGTAGAACAGGTGGAATCATTCAACTACTTGAGCAGCGTGATCACCAATGAAGGAGGCTGGTTGGAAGATGCTAAAAGCCAAATCAAAAAAGCAAATATGACATTTGTTTAACTTTACTTAATATGGAAGAAAAATAAATTGTCCAAAAAAACATAAATAAGGCTGTTTAACACCAACATGAAATCAGTTCTGCTCTACGGCAGTGAAACATGGAAGGTGACTGAAAACATTACCCAACCCCTTCAGACCTTCATCAACTGTTGCTTGTGAAGAATCTTGGGGATCTGGTGGCCTGAGAGGATCTCTAACAAAAAGATCTGTAGTACCACAGAATAGATTCCTATCCACCTTGAAATAAGGAAACATAAATGGAAATGGATAGGACACACTTTGAGGAAAACAGGTAGTGCCATCGAGAAAGAAGCTTTGCAATGGAATCCCCAAGGAACGAAGAAGAGGAAGACTTGGAGAGAAATGGTGCAGTTCTGTTCAAAATGATCTTTTGAACATTCAGTAGAATGTAACACACTTGTAGTTGCCCTATGCTCCACCAGCAGTTAAGGTGATAATAATGTCAGTAAACTGGTAGAGGGAAAACAATCCACTCTTAGACCAAAAACGTAATTATGAAGGTATATAACATGTATTAAATATCTAATTATATCAATTAGAGATCGACCTATTATATTAATATTAAAAAGGCTGATATGGCTGATATTTTTCCCTTTTCTTTAAGGTTTGTACAGTTTCACATGGAATATCCTACTTATTGTTAAATAAAAGAATTAATAGACCATTTAAACATCTCCTTATACCCAAATTTTGACCGATAAAAGAGAGATAAACTTATATTTCAACATATTGGCCTTTCGTTCCTATATGTCTGTTCTGTACAATGTCGCATAGAAAATTCTCGTAATTACTGAATCAATCAATCAATCATCTAGGCCTAGATCTGTACATACATTTCAATGTGTCAATCAGTCGTCAAGGAATTGACATCAATGTAAATTTGAGCAGATTTCGACATTTTTTTTTTCTTCACCTAGGACCGATAGATTTTATCGAGAACGGTATACATCATCATCATCCTCATATTCCTGATCCCAATACCGCAGCACAGTGTGGGCTATGTCTTGTAGAGCTTGGACCAGGTTTCCCTTTCTTGAGCCAACTCTCTTTCTTACTCCAATCCATACCTCGCTTCCTGAACGCCTCTTGTACACTGTCTTCCCAGGATATGCGTGGTCTTCCTCTAGGTCTCCTTCCCTCCACACGGGTCTCGTATGTCTTCCTGGCTGTTCTCTCTTGATCCATTCTAAGAAGATGTCCGAACCATCTTAGCTTGTGCTCTCTAGGATGGTTTCAGCCGGTTTGACCTCGAAGCTAGTCCGTACAGTGGCGTTCCGGACCCTATCTCTTCTGACCTTTCCCTCGACCTTCCGAAGGTATCGCATCTCCATGGCTTGAATTCGACTTTTGTGTTTCGAGGGGAGGGTCCACGATACAGAGGAGTACGAAAGGATAGGGAGAAATGTCGATTTATAGACTGCTACTTTAGTTTGCTTCGTTATCTCTCTTCTGCTCAGAAATTCCCTCCGGAGAAGATAGAACACTCTGCCAGCTGCCCCGATTCTTTTACTCACCTCTTCATCAACATAACCACTTTTGTTGAGATGAGCACCCAGATACTGGAAATTATCTACCTGCTCCAATCTCTCACCACTTGCTCTCATCACTCTCATTATTCTCCGGGGCTTCTTCCCTATTCTCATGCATTTAGTTTTTTCCGGGTTAATCTTCATGTTTATCGTGGCTATTTCTTCCTGGAGGATGTTGATGTTGTATTGGAGGTCTCGACCGTTGGCAGCTAGCAAAACCAGGTCGTCAGCAAATGCCAGCTCAGTGAATCTTGTCAGTTGTAGTTTTCGGTGTCCTAACTGGAACTGCCTCATCCTTAGTTTAGCCTTTTTAAGTGCCATGTTTAAAACTATTATGAACAGTAGCGGGCTTAAGCTACAACCTTGGCGAATACCTAATGTCGTCTCAACTTCTTCTGAAATGTGGTTCATAGTCCTAATCACATTTCTGGTCTTGTTATAGAGTCTTTATAACGGTATACAATAATGATTTTTTTTTTTTTCCGGTCTTCTCCTTCCCCTGATTAAAGCAGATACCGTTATTCCAAACCCATCTGTTTTACAGCCTTATTTTTATCAAAATTGGTAGAGTTTAACAACCTTTTTTGTACTCCTCTTCTTACAACTTTATTTTTCATATCCCCTCTTTTATATTTTTCTTGTGATCTGGTAATGTTTCCTGTCCACTTTATAATTTTAATTTAATTTTAACTTTATAAGTACTTAATTGAATATTTCTTTAGTTGTTTTCGGTTCAATAAAAAACAAGACTCGCTTAAAAAACAACAAAACTTGGATTTGCTACTTTCCTGCTGAAAATTGGCCCATTGTTTATGTGTACTTTTTTGTAGCTCTTGAGGTCTGCTATCTCACTCTTATAAACATTTCCCTCTACTTATAGGACACCCTGTATATCGGTTATGGGGTCCACCTGACTCGAATTTATCTTTAAATCTAACTCGCACAACTAAATTAAAAGTTTAATCGTTAATCTTTTGATAGTTTTTGTCAACGTTTTGGAATATTTCCTGTAATCAGGTTGTTAAAAAGAGGGTTAGCCAACTGTTAGAGGGTTAGGATATCTGTATCTGCTAAATATCTCAAGAGAGGATGAGAAATAAAAAAAATGTGCCGATATATATCAGCATATTGGCGTTTGATATCGGCCGATCTCTAATATCAATTCAATGAAGAGAAAAATGTAAAACTAATGTACGGATATTTGTCTTGAAAGCATTAGTGAGTAATATTAAAGAAAATGGAACACCTTCTTTATGAGTCCGAGGAAGTTATCAATTTCATACTTTGGCTCACAGAAAGATAGCCTGTTTACACACAGCGATTCATTTGATTCAAGTTAATGCATTACAGCCTACAATAATTCATAATATGGACAATTCTCTTTGTTTACATTATGAAGTAAATTAAAAAGGCTCCTCCCCATCATTGAATATCCGACAACATTTTATAGGATGTTTTTCTGTTCTATACATTCTGTCTATTTTTTAATTTTTATGACCTATTTCTTGGTAAATTTATATCTACAAATCCTGGCCCTATTAATGACATAGACTTCTGTGAACAGTATACCTCACGAATTCAGATTTTTTTTTCTTATATTGATTATTCAAGCATCCTTGTCATTGTTTTATAATTTATTATTTTCTGCCTATCTGTTTTAATTTAAAAAAAAAAATAAAATTCCTACTTTTAATAAAGATTTGTGTGAAATTTGAAGAAAATTGAATACTTCCTTTAAAGTACCTTTAATTTTTTTTATTTCAAATGATTAACCATTTCACATTAATCTTAGATATAAAAAATAGGTAAATGTAAAATATGAAAGAATTTGATAGTTAACTATAGGATAAATAAGAGATCGTAAGGGATAATAGTTCTAATAGAGGAACCAAGGAAATATGAGTACTCCCAAGCATTCCCAAAAGATTAGAACAGGCTTCCATACGTAACATGAGCTTAATACAATACTAACTCCGACAATATTATGTACATATACATATTCGGTTTTCATAAATGCTACCGTTAGTATTATTTAATATTTAATTGTATAGATTACAGCAATATTAAAATTAAAATTTGTATATATATTGGTAATTAAAAAAATAAAAATACCCACAATGAAATGTAAGTAAATTTAGCTTTTCCTTTCACTCCCCCTTTGTCTGAAAATACTTATGTCTGCTAAGAAGAGGGTGGTAAGTGAAAGTCGTGTGATGTTTCTTTTGTATTTTTAGATTTTGCTATTTTATAAAATTTATATTTTAAATTTAATTCTTATTTATTGTTTTTATTTTTATTATTTCTTGACCATGATGTATTCAATAACAGGCAGTCAAATGTTTCTGTATAGTTAACAGCTTGTTTCATTGTTAATTACAGACAGATATGTTGATAGAAACTTTGTTTCACATAAGTACACTCAAATTTCTCATTACAATGATTGGTAGTAATCTTTGCTACTTGTATTTCTGTTTTAAATCTCTTTGATTTTTGTTTCTTTAGATGCCAAACCGATTGCTATAACACATTAAATTAATACTGGTGCCATTTTATTGATTTCAGTGGAACCATTTATGTTCATTTGAAGACTTATGCTGCATATCTCTACACCCTGATGGCAAAGCAGAAATATCTCGAAAGACGGGCATACCAATATATATTAGAATGAATAATAATTCTTTGGTGTCATTTATTACTCTTTTGGATGGTTATTACAGATTATCTGTGAAATGGACTTTCAATTTATGTAAAGATTTCATTACTCCTACTCTCCATCTTTTGCAAAACATGAAGTGCCATGGTCCAGTTGGGTAAGATTAATTATGCAATTTTTATATATTTATTTTAAGTGTGAAATAAGCATTATTTTCTAGTTTATTTATTATCAGCCATTTTACACCAATTTACAAAATTTTATCAACTTAATGACTACACATCTAATTCTGACGTTTCGGCTTGTTGAGCCATTTTCAAGTCTAAAAAATTTTTACATTTTACAATCATATTTAAAACATTACATACTTCAACATATAGAGATTCTTTTTATATACCAATCATGTACCTGTCCTTTTCACTTATGTGAATGGCATGCGTCTACTCATAATAAAAATTTTCAGCCATAAAACAAATCAGCCAATAAAAAAGAAAGACATGTTAAAAAATAACATTTAGAAAACTATTAAAACATTTTTCTTTTTAAATTTACAAATTAAAACTATTTTTATGAGAAATTTAATAATATATTTTCCATAACAATATTGCACATAACAAAGGTAAACTTGTTTTTATATAGAAAAAAACACAATAGTAATTTGTAATTTTTGTTTGGTCTAGCATAAATATTTTGTTTTCCAATTTGTTGTGGATAGAGAAAATCGTTACAATTATTCCACTATCCTCGTTCAAATATTGAATATTGTTTTTCAGCTAACTAATTTGTGAGAGAACTTCTTAAATATTCATTGAGAAATTCTTTAATATTCACTCAGACATCACGAAAATGTATTGTCAGCTCAGAGGTCCAGCGCAAGTATAATTGTTCGAAATGATTGTGCGAACCCAGGAGGGTTAAGATACAAGCCTGGCAAAATCATCTATATGTTACTGGAACAACGGCATAACTCGAAAGAAATTATTTTTTTGCATTATCATTTCCGTGTTTGGCCCGCTGTTCACATTATTCGTTATTTCTTTAAAATGTCTAACCACCAAGTTTTAATCGAGTATCTAAATTGCGAATACTGAGCTTTCTGGTATACTCATTAGTAATTTCTTGTATCATTAGTAAACTTTTTCTTTGAAATTTAACCGGAACCATGTTGACATATTACAATCAACTCAGTGGAAATAGCAAGAAAGGGCTAAGACTCTAAATTCTTTTTCAAAACTGGATTCTCTGTATTCTTAATGGAACTAAGCGACAATATAGTGGATTAATGTTCTCAGAATATGAGCTTCATAATTTCCTTGTGTTAGTGATTCCTAACTGGATTTTTTTTATCATAATTCTATAACTCCATTGATTTTCAGCAGATTTCCTTGTTTATTCGTTTTATAGCAACACTACTATATATACCCTATTATGTGAGCAATGAATATATTATCAGAAATAATATATGAAAATAAATCACTCTGTGGTAGATGACGTGACATATCATATTATAATATTCAAATTTTTTTCGAGCATTAGAAATTCTTGTTTTATTCAGCTACTAAATACGTTACATATATGTATATATATATATATATATATATATATATATATATATATACATATACATATACATCAAATAAGATGTTATACTTTATGTTTTTTTTATCTTGATAAGTTTGAAATTTGGTTCATTCTACTGTTAAACTAATTTGTTTAAAACTGATAGATTTTTTATTGCAAATTTCAGATAATGCCAATATTATTAGACTTTCCGCTAGCAAAATAATATTTTAATTTTTTTAATGCTTGTATATAAAACAGGATTCAGATTTCAACATAAAATTTAGTATCAAATTATTTTATCTAACATTACTTTTTAAACGATTTTGTGGACACGTATCGGTTAATTCTCGTCCATGAATTGTTCTTCATTTTCCTTATAATTCTTCATTCTTATAATTGATAATTTTTTTACTGTATATCCTACCGATTTTTTTATCTTTCCTTTTTTATTTTATTTGATATGTAACGTATGACACAGAACTACATTAATGTTTATTGTTAATCTGGTCATGATAGTTATTGTCAGGAGTGCCCACCTCCCCAAGGCCGATGGCGCATGCCTCCCCTCCCCCAAAAACAAAATATTATTGCTCCTCTCACTTATATAATTAATATGTATCTATATGAGATGTAATATCATCAATAAGTTAGTTTAAAAGATAGTAGATATAATATTAGTTTATTTCTCCAGAATATTAAAGGCATAATACATGAGGCAATTACAATCAACAAGTAACATCAGTAATATTTAGAGGAGGCAAAGCTCCCCCCTGCCCTCCTCTGCGTATGACCATGCCAGGAATTCATTATTATTTTGTTTTAAAATATTTTTCCTTTTAAATTAGAATTTCATCTGAAATAATTGCGAGAGCGTTGTCAAAAGGAGGTACATTATTTTGAAATGAGGGGGGGGGCAATCAATTTGAAGATGGAAAAATTAGTTTTTATTTCCTAATTAGTTTATTTTAGAATGTTGAAACGACCTGTCACTGATGATAACATTTAATAAGTTATTGTTTTGTTGCTACATTATTTTAAATTTGTTTCTTTGTCTTATAACCAAAGAGAAGGCATTAGTTGTATTTATTATAAACACAAAATACAATGCAATGAAGGTACCGCATATCGATATTTCAAACAAGCGGCGCCCTTTGAGTTAATGCTGAAACTGGATATACGGAAGACAATGCCCTGCTTGTGTTGAGTATTTAGCATAAAATCATATCTGCCGATTTTCCAAGTATGCGGCGCCCTTAGATATTTTTTTCTATACATGCTAACCTCAGTGCGTTTTTTTTTCTTTGTTTCCTGGTTTAAATGTTCTCTTAAAATTGAAAACTTAAGTTGTTCCAAAAAAATCTGATGGTGCAACTTGCGCCATATAACCCCTCTGTGGGCACCTCTGGTTATTATCATGTTTACCTCCGCGTAACAGGTATTAAGAAACGTCGACAAATATTAATTGCCAAGTGCCTCGATTGTCAACTATTGTTTGTTAATTATTGATCTAGTTATCTCAATAAATGTTTTCGAACAATTTTATCAGAAAATCTAAATAGAAAACTAAAGAATGTGTAGGACACGCGGCACTCATTAATAATCTTTAAGTATCCAAAATAATGTTTTCGTATATTTAGTGAATCCCCGAGAAAATTCATGAGAAAGGTTATAAAGAAAAGAAAATTGTTTCGGGGAGCTAACTCACCAGGTATACATCTTATAAGTTTTCAAGAGATATAAACGTTTCTGAGTCTGTTTTGAAACCTAGTATTTAAAAGGTCATTAAATTTCTGACAAAATTGTCAAAAATCAATGGAATCGGACCAGTTTTAGCAAAGTTATAGTATATTGTTTTTTATAAGCTGATTTTAATGGTGATTCACTTGCCCGTTTACATTGCTTGGTTCATCCAAGAAATCGTTCTCAAATGATTTCACTGATTGGTTTTTAGGAAAATGAATCTAATTCGATTGTTTATTTTTTTCTCATGGACACATTTAAAGTTGTATTTTTTAAATAGATAGGAAAGTCATGTAAGTGGACATACTCGATTTTTCATTAAAATCATTGTTAACAATATATAAATTGTCTTTACTCTACAACTCTTCCATTCTATATAATCGGAGGGATGGAGGAGGGTTATCACTATCTTTCTTAATTCTTAATTTTATTGATTTAGTTGGACTATACAATGTTTACGTTAATAAAAAATCTAAATGTACTTATTTTTTTAGCATTTTTCTGAGATTTAAAGTAACACAATTAATAAATAGTAATAAGCTAATAGGTAACTGCGAGACTCTTGCGCAAGACTAAGACCAAGACCTCGGTCTCGTCTTGGTCTTGCGGTTGGACAACACTAATAGTCAAGTAAATTTGGTTGAACTTTGCTATGTCTAGGTCAAAAGATAGGCTTCAATGTAACTATTCTTTTGTGTTGATCGAAGACATAAATTAACGTGTTTAATAAATAGCAATAGGCTAATAGATAATTGCAAGACCAAGACCAAGACCAGGTGTGAACACTGCAAGACCAAGACCAATACTAGCCAAGTCTTGCATTGGTCTTGCATTTGGGTAACACTAATTTAATATTTCTATTATTCTTAACATTTTTCCAGGTTATGAAGTTTGGACTTAACTTTCTTCAGTAATTTAATTTAACATTCAATATTTTATAATTTCTTTTCTTTTTCTATTTAATAAGTTAGTCGTGTGTAATTTTGCCAAGTCGTTTCCTTTTTTTCGTTTGCTATTTTAAAATTTGTTTATTGTACTAAATGATCCTTTTAACTATTAATTGATTTACTTTATGTAAAGAATTGTAGTTATTTTATTATGTTTTTATTTTTTTGTTTTTTATTTAATGTTTTAGACAAAGTTTTGCTTTCAAGAAATTGGAAGAAAAGCGCAAGAGTAAAATGGGATGTTTTATTTTAAGACAATGTGAACTTAATTATGATAATTTCTTTATAGACGTATGTCACCAAAGTAGGTAAGTTGTCAAAATGTGGAATAAGTGTTTATTTAGATATTTTAGTATATTCATTATCCTTTTAACCATCTATGTCTTAGCTGTCCAGCTAAATATTTAGTCTCACGTCAGTGATACAACTAATTTTGATTCTTAAAGTAGTTTAATCTTAATATTTTAAAATTGTATTTTTTATTTTTTACACGAACCGGCCAGTAATTACCACGCGAATATCATTTCCGTTTCCTCTTCATACCCTCAGCCTTCCTCTTACTTCAATACTCTCTCATCCTCCTGGACTGTTCCCCTCGCTCTTCCTTAGTCCATTTTCTCCCTTGTCTCTCCCTCCCACCTACAAGAACCCCAACCCCTTTCAGTTTTTCCCTAAAAAGCTCTCTATCCAAGCAATCTTTATCCGTGATTTTTAGCCTGTCTAGTTTCTTTTTTATTTATTTTACATATCCCCCATACTTCTATAGCTGCAAACTTTGTCAAAAATTTTCTTGTTCAGTCTTTGACTATTCATCCTGACCATGTGCTCGTGTACATAATTAATATGTATCTTTACTTATTAATTATGTATCAATTAATACAGATTTTTAGCCTGTCTAGTTTCTTTTTTATTTATTTTACATATCCCCCATACTTCTATAGCTGCAAACTTTGTCAAAAATTTTCTTGTTCAGTCTTTGACTATTCATCCTGACCATGTGCCCGTAGAACCTTAGTCTTCTGGTCCTAACGACTGTTTCCAAATTTCTGTATATTTCTTGATTGGATTTTAGTCTGTATCCCTCTTGCGTTACCTTGGGTCCGTGAATCCTCCTCAGAATCTTCCTCTCAATCTTCAGGATTTTCTCTAGGCTCAGAAGGCTGACTGTTTCCATACCATATAATATTACAGTATAGTAATTTTATTATTATTATTATGTAATATTATACAGTATTATAATATTAAAATTGTATTTATTTATTAAGACAGGGATACCTCACATTTAGATGAAATTTCTGAAAATCAATGTTCCCTTACACTTAACATTTGATGAGATATTACTTGATTAAGGAGCTTGATCACAAATTACTTTTAGCTTTAAGACTTGTTAAAAGTAATAGCCCTGTAGGTGTATCTCACGCTATGGAATATATTTTAACTATGTTAGACCCAAAACCATTAACACATCAGATCTCAATACTCAATACAATATACTCATTTATTATTACATTTTTTTTTTTACTGATCACCCCAACCAATTCTCTCTTTAATTAAAATGCATGTATTATGCAACATTCAATTTTATAACACTTTTTTTTATTAATTAATTTCTTTTACATACTCAATAATTGTAATATATCTATACTTAAATATTTAATGTATAATTATAATTATTACACTTTAAAATTTTTATTTTATTAGCAGGGTTTCTATTTTTGTAAAAAAGTTCCATTTTTAGACAAATTTCTGTGTTGGAAAAAAGGGATACAATTTTAACAATCAAAGCTAATTATGAACACAGCTTAATCTATTTTTTAATAATATAAGTAAAACTGACATAAACCGAGTAGTTACATTTAATATTACATATTATTTTGTATATATTTTGGCTAAAGTGATTTTTAATGTTTCATTTTGATGGGGAAACAGTTTATATTTCTGTACAAGTCTCTCACCTCTTTTAATTTTTATATTTCTATTATTTAATTTTTAAGATACTCTATTGTATTATTTTTAAGAAATTTAGTTGTTTCATTTTTTCAACTAACTAGAAAGCTTGGAACTAGAAAGGATTATTTAGGGATTTAAATTTGAGGACTTTTCTTTTTTTTTTTGAAAATGTCTGGGCAATCTTAATTGAATCAATGTTTGTTCTTTTTATTTTCCCTTTTTTAAGAGACAAGTTACCAGCCTCTTTAATATTATCTCTGACCGTATCCATAAACTTGTCTATATGATCCTGGTCTTTGTCAGAAGGTTCTAATGTTTCAGGCCTATTCTTAGCTTGAATTGATTTCTAATTTATGGGTTTTTTAATTTTTCCAAATAAAAATCTTCAGAACCGAAACTGTTTTCTTTTCTCTTTTTTATTTTAAGTTTTTGTTGAAGTTTCAATACTGCTAATTCATTATCTGACTCAAATTCTGCCTGTGGTAAGATCTTACATTAATTATACTTTTCAGCCTTCTATTTTCTATCGAGGAGACATGATTGATTTGATCTATAAATTTTGAATCCGGTGATGTTCAAGTACATTAATGAATATCCTTATCTTTAAATATAGTATTTTTGATTATTTGGTTTTTCAAGATGGCAAAGTCAAAGTTAATTAACCGAATCCTATTTTTATTAATATAATCATACAAACTTACTTTAATGACCATCACAAAATAAACTTTTCCTTTACTACGTTTGCATTTGCATCTCATAAAATAATTTTCATGGAATTTTCCATTAATTTATTGTAGTCCCACTCCAGTTTATCATTTGACATTATCACTGTCTTCGATCTGACATTGTATGTTTATCAATACGATTTTAAACCAGTGCCTTTAAAATATGGCCTCTGAAATCCTTTCGCTAAAAAAGTATATATTCCTCAAAGCGGAGAGCAATCTATTCTTAATTAAAAAAGCGGTGCCTAAACAATGATTTCCACTTTCTTCTTACCAAATAGTATACTTCCCTTCCCTTATTAAGGACTCCCCTGGTCAGAGAATCTCTTCTTTCATATATTTTATTCTCAAATGACTAATCAGACCTTGAAATATAAGTAATTAAATAACCACTAGAACCAGTGAGGAAGCTCTATCGACTTTCTTGGCAACATTTTTCTTTTAAATATCTTACTGAATAAATTTTAATATTTGTTTTAATTCTTTAAAATTCACCACATGTGTTTCCAAATATAGTGTGGGAATTACAAAATCTTTGAATCAAGGACACCACATGCTTGAAATTAGTTTTCAGCATAACTGAGAATTCTCGAGTTTTTATAAGTACAATTGGGCCATGAATAAGAATCTTTTCTTTGAGTGCAATTATAATCCTTATGTTATCTCATCCTTATTATTTTTTTTCCTGCAGAAAAATTTTCCTCCTCAAAACATTGAATTACTTTTTCCCTGTAAATTTTCAAAATATAAATAGTTGAGTGGGAAACACTGAATTCTTTAGAGAGATTTGAATTAAACACATCTTCTTTCAGCGACCCAATTATGTTTGCTTTTTCCTCGATTTTCGATGTTTTTCTTTTAGATTTTGTGATAGTTTGAAAAACTAATTAGTAAGGATGGTTTTGAAGTAAAGTTTAAGACCAACTATCACTATCAATTGTAATGTTATTACTTAATTACTCTATTTGAAACGACAAGAAACTGCTCGACGTTTCCGATTACTTCAGCAGTTACTAGACAAACGCTCTAAACTTCCCATTAATTACAAAAGACTCATATACTTGACTATAATAAGACCTATTTGGACTTACGGAGTTGAGCTATGGGGCTCCACTAAACCATCGAATTCCTGTTGTATCCAATCCTTACAATCCAAAGTCCTTCATTAAATCCTCAATGCTCTCTACTTTGTTACAAATAAAACCATCCATAATGACCTTAATATCTCTTATGTTTCAGATCTGGCCCAATCCAGATACCTATCCTTCCATAATAAACTTCAGAATCATCCCAACCCTCTCGTTTCTAACCTTGCTTCCTCTTCAATTCCTGATAACCCTCCGAGGCTTCTGAAAACAAGATGGCCTTGTGATCTCCTAATGTAGACATATAATTAGAGTGCTACCATTGGGTAGTTTCTCAACAAGTGTTTTCACGTCATTATATTCATATGTTCAAATTTACTAAATTTATTTCTTTAATACAGTTGTAAATATCATTTAAAAATAAAAAAATAAATAAAATAATTACTCTATAGCACAAAAACTATTAATAAACTTGGGAGACGCGGACTCAATGTTTTATTTATATTCACTACATTGTCTATATAGAGTTTATTTTATATTGTGTTTCTTGCAATAACAATAATGTATATATATTTATGTTTATGTAATAATATTAATACAAAAAAAAAACTACTTTATATAAATAATTTTGTGTGTGTGTTTTATTTTGTTTTAAAATTAAAATCACACATTTTTTTACTTTCTAAGGATTGTGAATAAATAAAAAAATAATTTTTAAATAAAGAAACTTTTTTTTTAAAACGGCAAATTGATTTAGTATTCGAGATATGTCTGTGAATAATAATTGATATGATTTTGATGGGTAATTTTATAAATAAAAATAAAATAATAAATAAATAAAGTTTCAACTTTGAACTTATTATTTATTGCTTTCGAGATCTTCACATTGACTTGTTTCTTCAGGATCTCGTTTGAAGAAGTAAAGATTTTTCTTTTTTTAGTTACTACATGTACATTTAAATCACTTAAGACAAGATTTAAACATTGACTTCTCCTTTAGGACTCGAACTAGACTGCAATTGGCATATTAAGCCATCCTGTCTTCTCCTCTCAAAGGCATAAGAATAAAAACTACTCTTTTAAAATAAAAACTACTCCTAAATATTTACTTCAAATATTCACTCCTGTGATGTGTTCCTTTGGTTTATATGTTACTTGCTTCAATGAAGGAAATAAGATCTCTTTCTAACCTTTCATCCACACAGTACATTTGATTTTATATTTACTTATAATAATAAATAAAAATGAAAAAAATTATATATTTCACTTAATTCCATGTAATATTTTAATATTATAGAATTCTAAAAATATTACCTCATCAATCCTGCTTTTTTTTTTCACTAATACCATCAACCTAAAGTTCAACTAAACATTTTTTGTTACAATATATATGTATGTGTGAGTGTGTGTATGTGTTTTGTATTTTAGTTTCATTTTAATGCATCAGAGATATTTTGTATTATGATTTTATTTCAATAATGTAACAAATTATATTTTTCAAAGGAAAAAGGTATCTTACAAAATTGAGTTAAGGGGTGAAGGACATTTTTGGTTCAGTGGTAATGAAGAAAGTTATTCCTCCATACCCGAATTAATATCAAAGTTTCGTACTGGTTCCGGTAAAATACCTATGGTCGAGTGCATCCCTCCTTCTGAATACGGTGAGATATTTATTTATATTTTTTTAAACTAATCATATCAAACAAGAAAAAATATAGAGATTTATAGCATGTTATCTTTTTGTAAATATCCAGTAATATACAGGGTGTCCTGTAAGTAGAGGGACATTTTTATAGGAGTGAGAGCTGACCTCAAGAGCTACAAAAACTTTCATATAAACAATGGGTCAATTTTTAGCAGAAAAATAAAAAATCCAAGTTTTGTGGTTTTTTTATTGAATCAAAGGCAATAACTAAAGAAATATTTAATTTAATTAATTAATAATTGCTTCTTTGTAAACAAGATGAGATTTACATGAGTTTATAATTGTTAAAATCATTTACACATTATACACTCTAGTTTGAAGTCACTTCAGTTAGAGTGTAATTCCTGCAGTCTCTATGAACTGTAATAAGCTTGTTGGATTGATAAGTTCGTTTGCCTTGGGATCCTTTTCCCTATTAGTGCCGAATAAACGAAATCTTAGGCCAGCAAACCCATCACACCAGCAAGTGACATGATACGCTGTCTCATCCTTCCAGCCACAGTACCTACAAAGAGACGACTCTGTGAGCCGGAGTTTGAACATATGATAATTCAGTTTACAGTGCCCTGTATATGCTGCTGTAATTCTCTTAAGTGAGCTCCTGCTCAAAAATTAATTAGTAAGTTAGTTCTTTTTTGGCAGATTCCTTCCAGAAACAGTCTAGAGTCTGAAGCAGAGAAACAGTCTGCTTTTTCAATGACCAGCTCCTTTTGTTTTCAGCACCATATATCTCCCCGATTCTGTTTGTTGTTAGACACTGACTAATACCACAGATGGGTTCCGGAGCTATTGGGTCATTTGAGAGCCTTGTCTGGCTAGTTCATCAGCCATTTCATTGCCATGAATTCCCGAGTGACCCGGAACCCATTCAATGTATACCTTATTAAGTCTAGATAATTCGTTGATAATTCTAACACAATCCCCCAACTACCTTGGATCTAGTTGTATAGTTGTCTAGTGCTCGTATGGCCGCTTGACTGTCCGTATATATTGCTATTCTCCTCCCAACTAAACCGCCAAGCAGTATTTTTGAAGCACAGTGAGTTATTGCCAGTATTTCAGATTGAAACAATGTTGATTTGAGCTGCTAAACTGCACTGTTCTGTTTTTAAAAAAATCATAAATTATTCATGATTATTTTTATCAGCATCCAACTATACTATTGTTACTCCAGTTTTACAAAAACTTCTTCGTTTAATAATCTTTAAGTATGTATTAATTAAGTTGAGGTTTATTAGGGGAAAACTTAAGATTATGCTGAAATTGTGAAAAAAATTATGATATTTTCTTTCCTGTCAAGTAAAAGTATCCCTGTTTTCAGCTAAAATGACTACAATTAATTGTAAAGCTTTTATTTATTTTTTTTTTCCATGATCTGGGGTGTATTATACTAAACTCAATAGCCCAAACACACTTTTTATTTATAAAAAAAATACTGATTTTTCAGATAAATTGGTTATAAACTGTGTTTTTCACCCAGATCTCTGTTATAGGAATTGATCTGTATTTCTGAATGACAAAATAAAGGTTTCTAGTCCTAAAATTTATATTTAAAATAAAAAAAAAACTTTAAAGATAGTTTAAAGAACATAGCTTAGTTAAGCCACTCAAAAGTCCTCTGTAAATGGTTTTAACAATGATAAAATCTGTGTTCAATTAAAGTAAATCTTGTTTACAATGAAGCAATTCTTAATTACTTTAATTAGATAATTCTTTAGTTATTGCTTTCGATTCAACAAAAATCAACAAAGCCTGGATGTGCTACTTTCCTGCTAAAAATTGGCTCATTGTTTATATGTACTTTTTTGTAGCTCTTGAGATCTGCTATCAATCCTATAAAAATTTCCCTCTACTTATGGGAAAACCCTGTATAATAATATATATATATATATATATATATATATATATATATATACAATATATATATACAATATATATATTTATGTATATATATATATATATATATATATATATATATATATATATATATATATATATATATATATATACAACTTTTCCTTAATCGACCTTTGAGTATTAAATTTAAACTTCACTATTTAATTGGGAATAAGGTCACTTAATTATTATTTAATAAACTAATGAATGTTCATTTCTTCTGTTTATTGATGTTTCGATCCCGGTATTTTCTTTTTATTAGTCAACCATGGGATCCTCTTCAAAGCTAGAATTTTAAAAAATAGAGCTTCGATCAGGCCAGGGACACACCGACAGTCTCAGCACCGTCCACTAGCATATATATTAAGCTACTCTATAGCATATATATGTAGCTTAATATATATGCTAGTGGGCGGTGCTGAGACTGTCGGTGTGTCTCTGGCCTGATCGAAGCTCTATTTTTTAAAATTCTAGCTTTGAAGAGGATCCTATGGTTGACTAATAAAAAGAAAATACCGGGATCGAAACGTCAATAAACAGAAGAAATGAACATTCATTAGTTTATTAAATAATAATTAAGTGACCTTATTCCCAATTAAATAGTGAAGTTTATATATATATATATATATATATATATATATATATATATATATATATATATATATATATATATAACTTAAGATATGAATTATTATCTGACTATAATTCATATCTTAAGTTATAATATATAAAGGTCGAATTATAAAAAAACATTTTAATTTATATATTTATGTATATATATATATATATATATATATATATATATATATATAATTTATTTTGTTTGCTCAGTTAATTATAGTTTATGATAATATGAAGGGGTTGGGTTGAATTGTGATTCGAAAATGGAAATAAACCTGCTTTCTTCAGCCATGATGTTACTATAACAAACTGGAGATCATCTATAGAAATAGAAATAGGAAAATAACTGAGTTACATTAAATAAATAAAAAACCTTATGTAAACTAACAAAATATATAAAACCAAACTAAAGAGACTGTATAGAAAATATTTATAAATATATGCAATACATATAAGAAATGAAAAAAAGTAATCACTAAAAATAAATTTAAAAAAATAGAAAGAAAAGCAATAAATAAAAAATAAATTCCTGTAATAGATGAGCACGTAATAAAAGTAAATAAAGTAAAGTTAATTATAAAGAAATAAAAGATTTATGTATGCTATCTTAGTAAAATTTAGAACATTAATAAACAAAAATATTGAAATATAAATAAATTAAGCAACTTTATGAGCATGAAATTCTTGTAGAACAGAAGTGACATGTTATGAAAAATATTCATAAAAGTTCATAAGTACATGTAAATATATATAAGTTCATAAGAAGAAGAAAAAATAAAATAAAACATTAAATTTAAGCAAGGCACTAAAACTTAACACGTGGTGAGCCATTTTCTGACTGTTTTGTTAATATAAATTGGAATATAAGGGTTTTAAAGGTAGATTAGGAGGTAGCATGGCGGAGTTTTAAAGGGAGGAAATTCCAGAAATTAGATGGCTATTGATAATCCGATAAAGAAATGTGCCTAAGAAATATTGTCTACAGAAGGAAAGGAAGCAATTCTGACAAAGCAGTTTTAAGGTTTTTTATGTTTTAATCAACCACCACCAATTATTAAACAACTTATAATGTAATGTCTTAAGACAGTTTGGGATGGTCATTAACACTTTTGTTGTTTACCTCTTTTATAAAAAAAACATTCATATATTCTGGGTCCTAGCCATACCGGAAAATCATTATTTTCTATCATTAAATATACATGTTTTATTTGTCTACTTTCATCCTCCATTATATGCAGTAATAGCTTAAGCTATTTGTCCTTGGCTTTAAATTTCCTTACCATTCTAAGTATTTTTTTTTAAATATATTGTTTTATTTTTAGATGTATCTCACCTATTACTTTGTCGGATTGAAGATATTATTACAAAAGATGGCAAAGATATTATTTCAAGTGATCAGCTGATACCTCAAATAATTAACATAAAGCATCTTCATCTTTATCCAGGTGAGTCTTATTTTTGCATGATAATAATGTTTATTGAAATAAGATCAATTATAATTAATAAGTATATTTAATGAATATTATACAGATTATTAATTAATACACACTTAACATTTTCTAGATGAAAATGTTCACCAATTTAAAATTTTATGATTTATTCCATAATGTCATTAACAATTTTTGAGCAACACATCAGTTTATATGATTATTAAGAAGAATAGGGCCAACTAATTTTTGTAATTTTAATCATTGCTGAACTGATAGTTAGTGCCAGTGAGATAGAGATAGATGGGCGGATAGGGATTTATCTGACCTTGTATTAGTTTAAAAATGGTATGTTAGGAAGTATTGAAGGTTTAAGCTCTGGCTTGCTAAGTCTTTTGATTATTTTCTGTATTTAAAATATATACATATGTGTGTTTGTATTCAGTAATATTACTACATATTTTAAGAATTAGATTGTATTTTATTATCACAAACATCATTTGTTGGTTTAATCATTCTGTATAAACAGAAATATTATTTGAATACTTGATGGTTGACCATTATATATTTTAGAGGAAGGGGATGTTCCGGGGTGGCAGTCATAAAAATATTAAAATAGTGATAAAAAGATTTTACTTCAAGCTGACATTTAGACCCGACTTTTCAGGGGGGGGGGGTGTATGCAGCATGGAGTTTCGGTTGAAACTGAAACTGAAAATTCGGGTTGAAACGTCGCCTTGAAATAAAATATTTTTTCAATATTTTAGTCTTTTTATGACCGCCGCCCCTCAGGACCATCTCCTTCCTCATAAATATTATTTCATCAATATTAATATAAATGAGTAATAACTAATAACTAGCCAAGAGACAGAATATGGATTTTAGGTTATAATTGGAAAAATCCAAACATTATTGTTAGTATTATTTTTTTTTTTTAAAGTTCTGTTAAATGAAAAATAAACAGTAATTGGGCTTAGATTAGAGTTAAAATTTGTCTGAAATGAATTACCCATGATTCTAATGTGTTTTTTTTTTTTTTTTAATAGCTATGAATAAAAGTAATCTTTTAGTCGACAGAACTTTTAAATACAATTATTTGTTAGCCTTTTAAGCCCTATCTAAACACTTCTTTTTATATCCCAATAAAAATTTTAAAGTGATTTAAATATTTTTTTTTCAGATAAAGTGCTGGATGGTCAATGGGGTCTTACTCAAATGCGGAAATATGTTTGGAAAACAAAGCATTTTAAATTAGATGTTGCTGTTAAATCTTTGAAGCCATCTCTTCAAGAGCAATATTTACAAGTAAACTCATTTTTTATTTTTATAATATTTATGAAACTCATAATTATTAATGTTACAGTTAAAAATTTATTATTATAATCATGGTCTTTTATGACTTTAACATGATTAAAATGATCTTTCCTAGTATGTTTGACTTTCAATAACTTGAATCATTGGGACACATAGAAAAATTTGGGTAATTGAGTTTTGTAACTAATTAAGGTTTGAGATTCAAGTTCATTGAACTTTTTTATATTTCTGCTCAAGTAGTAAACCATTACCAAGAAAAACAGAGTATTAAATAGACACAGAATTTCTTTTTAAATGTTTTGGAGCCATCCATTTTAAGCATAAAACCCTTTATGCCCAAAATTCCGTGTGACCTCCACATTTTTCTCATATGAAATGTTTTTATTCCATCATTGCTTTATCCTTTCAAGATCGGTTTCTCTTGCCCTCTTAATTTAGCTGGCTAACCCACTTCCTTTGTCATACTTATCCCAATTTCTCATTGTGCCATACCAACATTGTTGATAAGGTGTTGGGTGGTATTCCTATTTCATTTGCAATTTTTTTCCCTCATACTATAATTATTTCAAGGACATTTGAAAAAAACACACATAAAATGTGTCATCAGGTCTTGGACTGATGAGAAAGCAGGAGAAGTGGAGCCCTACTGATGAGGCTCTAGTCATACAAGCATCAGTGACCATCTAGTTGTAGAGGTAGTAGAATCTAAACTTCAATTTAATAACACAGAAAGAGATTCGCTGCTGCTCTTTAAAACACCGAAACTTAGTCTAATTGTGGTTTTTATTTTGAAATATTGTTTCCTTGCTACCGAAGATAGGGGCGTTTTATATTCATGTGAGATGTTAAAAAAATGTTTGTGCTCAGAATCAAAACTTCCACTTGAGTTTTACATTTCGGACATCAGGGAACAAATTTGGTTCTGTGTCTGTTAATAGTCAAATTGAAGTGACGTGACGATCATATCACTTATTACCGTTTATTCAATATTCATGAAATTTACAGTCATTTTCTGGTTGGTGCCTATATGGTCCCATATCAATGACATCAAATTCCATCCAATATTTGTTTGTACACAAGCGCAAGGGTATGTTCTTACATATGCCCATATTTCAGAAAGGACTTGTTCAATTTAGCTTAAAGTTGGAAGAAAGATGAGTATTGGTAAAAAAAAATTATGCTGTGTCAATTTTAATGAATTACATCCACTACTTTCTCTTGAATATGTGCCAACGTATTTTGTTTGGTATGCTTATATCTCAAAAACCGTGTGTTTGTTTTGGCCCAAAGTTGTAGGGAAGTTAGGGATTATTAAAAAATGATCACATAGGTATCAATTTCATCAAATTCTATCCACTACTTTTAAAAAATACATCATCGTATTTTTTAATATTCATACTTGTTGTTTTGACATGCCTATGATTTGAAAAGAACTCAATCGATTTGACACAATTTTGGAGGAAATGTGGAGAATAGTGTACAAAATGCTATTATCAATTTCATTATATACAATCTAACAACTAAAATTAATATAAATAACTGTCAATAATATAATGGCTGCGAAATGTGGTAGGCAGTGAACTTATGGAAAGTTAGATTAAATTTATTTTATAGCTTTATGAGGTTATAAAACTTTATACTATATTCAAAAATTTAATTTAAACTGTAATCAGTTGTTGGTTCACTGTGGCTAGCATGACATCTGCTTCCATTACTTAGATTTCATATATTTTTTAATGATTGTAAGGATTGAAACTAGATAGCCCAGTATAAATTATTCTGAATCCCATCCGCTTCTTTCGCATAGGTGGGCCTTTTTCCTTGACTATACGTACTATAATAGTAGCCTAGGGTTATTTTCCAGAAACATCACATGACTCTCAAATTCATGAATTCTGTCTTTGTTTCATTGTAAATACATTTTATGAAGGCTAACAAAGACGAAAACACAGATTTTTTAAAATTTTGAATTTGAATTTATCTTCTTGTATATAAACAATTTATATATAAATATATATAATTGTAATGAATGCCTCAATAGAAGGCAAAAGACCACATGGAAAGCCAAAAAGCAGATGGATAAATATAATAAATAGAGATGCTATAGAGCTGTGTGCAGATAACTGGAAAGAAATAACCTACGATAGGCAGAGGTGGAGCAGGCTTGTTTAGGCGGCAAAAGATCTACAACATCTGTAATGACAAAAGGAAAAAAAAAAAAATACATATATGTATTGCTGTAAATGCGGCAGAGAGTCTGAAACACCAGCCCATGTGCTGGGAAAATGCCCCAACAACTCCCTCCTCATAACACGTTGTCACCACAGGGTCAAGTTCGAGTTGATGAGGCTCCTTAGGGAAAGGAAATTCACCTGCTTTGAAGAGGTATATTGCATCGATAGTGAAGGCTCTACGAGATATGCGGATATCGTCGCATTTCTCAAGACAGGAAGGACAGCGCTGATCTTGGATCCAACTGTCCGCTTTGAGAGCAATGACCTCGATCAGGCGGGTGAAGTAGAAAGGGAAAAGAAGAACACGTACGATAAATGTATCCCTTTCCTAAAAGATAAATTCCGTGAGATCTTCGGAGAGAGATAGTTCACCGTGAGAGGCTTCTGGTTTGGGTCTCGCGGAACTATCCCAAAAAGAACAAGGAGCTTCCTCGAGGAACTAGGTATCGACATTAAGGACGTAGCGAGGTTGGCTGAAAATATAGTCCTCGACTCCCTGGGAATCATTCACCACCACGTGCATGGCTAGCCCGAGAGTTTTAATTTATGTATTTGTTTATTTATTTAATGAATAATTGAAAACAATAGAGATAAGGAGAGAGAAGTGAGAGAAAGGAAAACTAAATGTTAAAAAAAAAAAAAAAAAAGCATGAACAATGAAAGGAAGGAAAAAGGAAGAAAAAAAGGAAAAAAATAAAATAATAAAAATGTATATATATATATATATATGTATATATATATATATATGTATATATATATATATATGTATATATATATATATATATATATATATATATATATATATATATATATATATATATATATATATATATATATTACTAATATTAACTAATACTTCTGTATATTTATATATAAGTTCATATATTGTCTTAAGGATAGAAGAGTATGCTGTGTATATAGCAACCCAATAAAATTGGGCAGCAATCCTTTATATTTTATATTTTGTGAAAATAAAGTGTTTCTCTCTCTCTCTCTCTCTCTATATATATATATATATATATATATATATATATATAACTTAAGATATGAATTATAGTCGGATAATAGGTCATGAAATACACTTAAATGACTTAAAACAACTTCTGTTTATTCCTTTTATTCATAAACATTTCAATCCCTGTTTTTTAACATAAATCCTCTTAATGGGACCCTCTTCAGTTCTGAAAAAACAATACTTATCATTGGGATAACAATCAAAAGTTTTCATACATTTCAACAATGATACCAAATTTTTCTTACTTTTAATTGAGCCTCGATACCCCAAGCCGGGCAGCACACTGACAGACTCTACAGTACTGCCACAAGGACATCAAGCTACTGAGAGCCGCTACGCGCACCCTGATCCTGAAGTCCGCGAATAATACCGATAACAGCAAGTGTACATAACAATCTCTGTTGGTTGTAATTAAAATTGCCAAATTAAAAGATTAAAAATGCTGAAGTAATGAATTAAAACAATCTTACATGTATTTTATACTAATGTCAAATGCTAAAATTTAAAATAGATTACAATGAAATAAAGTATAAAGAGCCAGCCCTTGCATATAAAATTACAATAATGAATCAAATTAATATGGTTCCTACTTTTGTCCATTGTCTTTATCTACCACTAAGATTTGTATACACACACACACACACACACACACACACACACACACGTACATACACATACCCACACATAAACATACTCAACGCTCCGGCCAATCTATATTGATTCTAATATATTATTATAGGTGTAATTTAACTTGGCTAAATCATCACTATGGAGATTGAGCAAGACAATTCCATTACCTTTTTGGATACAAAAATATATCGCTCTGGAAATAACATAGCAGTATCATGGTATGAAAGAAAAAATAATGGCGGCAGAATATTAAATTTTAAATCAAACCACGATTTAGGCATACAAATAAATACTGGGAAGAACCTGTTTTGTAGTTATAGCCAATGTTGAGTGTTATTCGAATAAAGTTGTTCGAAGTTTTATCTAGATAACGAATAATAAATAAATTTTTAATTGTTATTCTTATTCGATGACCTTTGGACCATTATTTGTTATTTGTTATGATAATAGGCATTATCTATTATCTACTACTCGTTATTTAAAATAAAAATACGATTCGAATAATTTTTTTGTAATTTCAAAGATTTCTTTGATATATGGGTCTATTTGTAATTATGATTATGCCACTGTGTTGCAGCTTATTTGAATTTTTTGGATTTCTACGATATAAGGATCATTTGTATGTTTTCGAAGCCACAGTTTTTGAAAATGATCTCCAATTTAAGATTATGCCACTGTCTTGCGGCTTATTTGAATTTTTTGGATTTCTATGATATAAGGGTCTATTTGTATGCTTTCGGTGCAACAGTTTTTGAAAATTACCTCCATTTTAAGATTAAGCTACTGCGTTTCGACTTATTTGAGTTTTTATATTTGAGATTACAATATATTTAAGGAATATGAGGGAGGCCTTAATAATTAAAATCCGCTTAATCTGATGTTATAAAATTGCTAACATGTTCGTGAACATATGATTAATAATACATGAATAACTTAAATTTCTTAAATTCTAGAAATTTATTGTACCTAATTTTTATTATATGCAGCAGCTTTTGATACTGAAAAACAAAAATATTTTAAACAGTCAGTTATAAATCGTAATTGTAAAAGTTTACCATTCCCAAAAAGCGTCGTAGGCGTGTAGCTGATTTTGGTTCATTATAATCTTCAATGACTTTTATCTTAGCTGGGAGTGGCCTGATTCCAGTAGAGTTAATTTTGTATCCTAGGAACTCTAATGTGTTTACTCCAAATGAGTATTTGGAAACGTTGATGCATAGGCCATAGTAATCCAGGCTTTCGGATAAGATTTTCAAATGCTTCTCGTGTGTTGTGTCATCAGGTAATGCTACAAATATATCATCGATATAGCAAAAAACAAAATCTAAACCATCAAGTACCTTGTTCATGAACCGTTGAAAGCTTTGTGATGCATTTCTAAGGACGAATGTCATGAAGGAATATTCAAAAAAACTAAACAGGGTTATTATAGCGGTTTTTTCATGTCTGATTCATGAACTTTAAAGACCCGTAAGTCTATATGTGAAAAAAGATGTTAGCTCAGTTTAATATCTGTATGCAGTACGTTAGGAAAGGTAATGGATACCTATCAGGAAAAGTGATTTGGTTGAGTTTCCTATAATCTCCACATGATCTCCAATCGCCATTCTTTTTCTTAGTGAGATGAAGTGGACTAGCCCAGGAGAATGGGAGATGAAGATATTAGGGTCTCACGGTCAATGAGTTTATTGTATTTGTATCAATAATCAGGTTATAGTGCAATAAAAAACGAATTCCTATTGTTGGTTTGTTCACTTCGGCTATAATAAACGGACATTCAAAAGACCTTCTAAGACCTAATTTAAAAATTCTAGGTCTAATTTAAAAAGTGTGACCATATGTTTTAATTTGGGTACCGTTGGCAGCAAAGAGTTCAAATTTAGCTAGGTTGTTTCTGTCAAAATTTTGAGGTGGAATTACGGAAATGTCTGCCCCAGTGTCTTTTAGAAATAAAGAATTATTAGGAATATCACGTATAAAAAGGCAACTTATTTCGGCTGTGTATCCTGTTGCCTTGGGAGGAGGGGAGAGGTAATTTTCCTGGGACCAATCTTTTTTATTAATAGTGTATAAACTACATGGTGGAAAGCATTTTTGCCCTTTACCTCCAAAATTATAATGATAATAGCAAAGACCTAAATTTATAGTTTCAGAAGAATCTTTCCTTGTGCTGGAATTAGGTTGAAAGAGATAAATGGTATACCTCTGATGGAGATGCTGGGGATGCTGCAATAATTTCATTTTTGTTTGAGTCTTCCTCGTTGACTTGAGATATGTTTGGGGTCACCAATGTAGTTAAACAAATAAGAAAATAATTCTTTTAACCACTTTATTAGAACACAGACAAGGGAAAACACAGACAAATTATGACAACAAAATTAACAACTCAAAGTAACATGAAAAAAAAACATATGTTGGTATTATAAAGTAAGGTTACAAAATGGTTACTAATTATTTATAAAATAATTGTATAAATTGTGCATATATAATTACTAACTATATATGTATTGTTTTAAACTATACATTTGTGTCCCCTGACATATTTGTCAGGAAAAACTTTAATTAAATAGAGAAATGTCAGAGAATTTTACTCTAACAGTTTGGTAGCCACCCTGTATATATGTATTTTTATGTAGAATTCTGTATGTTATTAATGACTATATTTTGTAGGATTTCTTGGATTTGATTGGAAGATGGGCTACTCTTCGTTCCAGTGCAGTTGTGAGATTACTTGGTGTTACTCTCGGAAGAGATGTTTCCATGGTTACAGAATTTTATTCTTTGGGACCATTAGATTTCTATTTACAAAAACATAAAAATGATCTTGAAGAAGTTGATCTCGTCGAAGCTGCAACTTACATTGCCAGTGCGTTATGGCATATGGTAATTTTTTTCTTATATTTTTATTATAATTATAACGTATATTATTTACTAATCTAATAATATTTCGGTTTCACTAATACGGAAAAAACAAAAATTAAATTTTTTCAATGTATTTTTGTTTCATCCATTTTACTTGTGAAAACCTATTTATCTATATGTACAAACATACTGTAACTCTAACTGTACAGGGAGTTTCTCTAAAAATAATTGATCTTTCCTTAGGTTTTAGACCTGTATGGTTATCTGTAAAACCATACTGGGCAATAGAGTGGGCTATGTTATAAATTGTTCTAGAAACAAAGGAAGCCAATTTATAACAACCATTTTATCAAAAGTCATCTGATACATAACACAACATAATATCCTCAGTCCTCATTAATTTTCTAAATCTTTCAATGGATTTTTCTTTTTTCTTTTTTTTTTCATCAATATTGTCGAGGTATAAATGTATACGGAGGCAGTAAGCAAGTTACCAGAAGGCCTCGACAGTGTGTGTTCAGTATTGAGGGTAAGGTGACTAATGGATGAAGGAAGATTTATAGAAGAATGACCTTAAGTGATAGGCGGATCAGCACCCAATCACTCTCGGCCTGCGGTGTAAGAGATCAAGCTTAATACTCCGCAAGGATGGTAACCACAACCGGAGGGATCAATCTCGGGACTTGTGGGAGGATGAAATACTAACAGACGGATCAATCTCCTGACTTAGTATATAGGACTGCAAGTAGACGGATCAGCATCCTACTTGCATGGAGTAAGAGAAGAGGAAAAAGGTATATGGATGTTGTGAAATTAAAAGCAGATTGTTGAAGACCAAAAAGGAGTGTACGATTCATATACTGACCAACTGCGTGAATGTCTACACACTGAAGGGGTGGAGATCCTAAGACCTGACAATTTGAGGTTTGATTGCGGTATTCATTCTGCCAAGACTAAACTGGCTACCAAGAGCCGTTACAGTAACAGTTATTTTTGAGCTTTGATATGTTATCGCCATTAAACTTTATTAATAAAAAGTATTTACAATGAATATGCATATTTCAATTTACAATTTAAGTATTTTATAATACAACAATAAGAAATAAAAGGTACAATTTTTGGTATGTTGCACAGGCGAGCTTGTAGAGCGCTGCCTGGTAGCGGTAAAGCGAACTCGTTGTTCCTTGTAGTAAGAACGGGAATCTGGTGCCGCTACACTGTCATTATTATCTATCATAATAGGAAAATGTCTATAAATAAGTTATTCAAAGAACTATCTTAATAATATCAATGAAGATAAAAGATATAGAAGAAATTAAAAAGAATATGAAGAAAGTAATATATTTTATTGCTAAGTAAATTATTATAAATTTGATAATGGGTTTTATTTATTTGTTAAATTATTCCATATCTGTCTGAAGGTCCTCAATCTTCTCTATTTCATTCCATTGCAGGTAGTGCCTGATAAAGCATGTATGTATACATGGTAAGCAAAAGAGGCTCAACATCGGGTCGGGGTGTCGTTAAAAGGGGGAGCCAAAAAATTGTTTTTGCTAGAAACAAAGTCAAAGCTCTGTACAAAATTGTTTTATTTGTTTGTTAGGATATTTGATAACTTGCTCCATTGTGGGTTAATTTTTAGCTTACTTATTAATTATAAGCACAGTGGTGTATTTATGCAAAGGCAGACCAGGCAGTTCCCTTAGGCAATAATATTTGGGTACTACCCAGATTACTTTCAGATCAAGGCAGAGTTGATAAACATTGTCATGTTTTAATTATAAATTGTGAACATAATCCTGGAGAAAAAAATCATGTTTGAAATACAAATCAAAACCACAAAATTAAACTTAAACCTCTATTCACAAGTGCCACAGATATTTATATATTTAGCTGTTATTTATGGTTATTTTTTTTATTTCAGGAAGGTGAAGGTATAGTGCATGGTTATTTGAGGTGTCACAAAATTCTTGTTACGGCTCATACTGAAAATACTTTTTCTGTGAAAGTGGCTGACCCTGGAATTCATAATACTTTTTCAGAACATGAGTATGTATTAATAATCCTTTTTTACCTGATCTTAGATTAGCACGTGTTTGACAGGGGGGCAAACCTTAGATCTCTGAGTGTTTGCTTTGCTTTAACTACTTTTTATGTATATAAGAAGTGGAAGAGGATAAATTATTCCTTATTTATTTTTGGTAAGATATAACAAAGTAGTTTCTATTTTTTAGTTGGCATTGGATACCTCCAGAATTATATGATAATCCAAGGGAAGTTTTAAAAAATACTTCGGCTGATGTATGGGCTTTTGGCACCACGCTATGGCAGTTATTCTCGTATGGACTGCAACCTTCAGTTCCTTCTAGTATTAAAGCTGTATGTATTTTATCTTATACATTATTACAGACATAAATGGTTTAGGTAGTCATATAATGATTTCAGTTCTTATTTTAGTGTTATTGTATTATTCCATTGATAGTGGATAGAATAAAATTGAAAATTAATCAGTATCATAGAAAACAATGCTATTCTATTATATAATTTTATAATGTTAGTAATTTCAAAAATTATTTATAAATCCTCTTGTATTAATTGCAGTTCTATAAAAGTGGAAATAGACTTCCAAAACCCATTAGATGTTCTAGAGAACTATTTACTATTATTAATGAGTGCTGGAATATTGATCCTGACCAAAGGAAAAAACCTCAGGCAGCTATGCGAGATATAAACCAACTATTATATCAAGGTTAATTTTAGAATTACTTTATATAGTAGTATATATTATTTTTATATAGGTTAAAGTGTGGTTGGCTGGCCTAAGACTTCCATTGAAGTCCTATACAGCAATTGAATGTGTTATTATTTGCTAATTTATTATTTTATTTTACCATAATAGCTGACAGGTTTTAAATAGCTTTTATTTATTTAATTGGACTATTGTAATATGTTGCTTAAGCATGTTTATTGGTGGCAGCATTATTAAATACATTTTTATTTGAATAATTTGTTCAATAATTTTAATTTTGTCATGAATACTTTTTCTAATAAGCAAGTTACTATTTTATTTATTGATTTTTGTTTATAAATCAAATAATGAATAACCAATTATTTATTTATTCTGAATCTATATTCATGGGCATAGTGGGGAGATTGAATTATTTGGTTATTGAGAATCCTACTTGAATTTTTCAAAAATACGTTATTATGCTATGCTCGTAAAAAGTTAGTTATTGCAAATATTTATTTTTTAGTTTACTCTTTCCATTTGTACTTTGCAAACGAGTGCATAAAATATTTAGGAGAGGGTTGATATATCAGTTGTTCCCATTATCCTTTCCAAATTAATAATTTCAAATTCCGAGAGAGCCAGAAAAAACCTCTTCATTCTACCTGCTGCTAAGTGAACTAGGGATGGTATGGAGTGGTAAACTAAAGCATTAACTCTAATAATTTCTTCTCCATATTATATTCCCTTCCATACTAGGCTCTCCATACCTCCCTGTTTCGGTTTTCTTATTGATTAACATTCATATTCTTATACATAATAAATTTGCTGGTTTATCACTTGCTCTTAAAACATTAAGGGATAACCATAGTTCATGTTGCAGCTTTCAATATACCTTTGCTGCATTGGCAGTTTTTTTATATACTGAGGTTAAGTTTCTTTAGTTATATAACTTTTTTTCAGTTTGATCAATTGTTTTATTATATTCATTGTTTTTTCATTATGTTTTCTTTTAATTTCAGTTCATAATGCAAGGAGGTCACATTCATATACAGCTGCACGTCCTCCTACTGTTAGCGTCGACTCTGTTGAAACTCTAAATGAAATTAGTAGTATGGCATTAGATTATAATTCTGGAATTATGTCTGCACGGACAACTGGTAAGTTTTATGAATATATACTTTTATATATAAATGTAAAAAATCAAACCAATTATATAGTACCTATCAGTTATATACTGTTGACTTAACTTGTGATACGAATCTTTCTTTACTTTACATTATATTATATATAGTAATCCTCAACATTCAGCAGTTTGCCATCCAGAAGTTTTGTTTATGCGCTAATACAAAAATGTGAAAGAATTCCATAACACATACTCATATTTGCGAATTTTAAATTCGACTGTTAACAGATAAAAAAAAAATCATGAGTCTTAACGGTTTTAAGTACAGTATTTATGTATATATTGAACATAAGTATGTATTTATAACGTATGTTTTCACTCAGAAAATGTATAGAACAAAATCTATTTAAAAAATTCAATTTTTCACATGTTTTTGCTAACAAAAATTAACATTTTCCATCAGTCTGAACAAAACAAATTTAATGATAAGTACATATAACAATATGAGTGAGTTTCACAAAAGTATAAAAATGTTTCAATAATTTGTTTGCATTACAGAGGATTTTTTTAACCTTTATTCAAGATAGGGTTGGGACTAACTGAATATACTATAATTTAAAATAACAAAAACCTACTTTTAAAACATCTGTGTTTTTATCTTGCTTGGCCATCATAAAACGTAAGTTCCCTATTTTCACAGGAGGATAGATAGGATTTAGTATTCTGAAATTCTTTGGGAAATTGTTGGAAAAATTTTCTGTGTATGATTCATAATAAATATTGATTGCATTTAAAAGTAAAATAAAATAAATAAGTAATAATATTTCTACTATATTGTTTTATATTTATACCTATATTCTAGAATTGTTTTCCCTCTCTGTTTCATTCATTTAAATACAGTTTTAAAAAACAACTATTAAGAACTTATAAATCTAACAAATAAATAATTTAATTTTAACAATAATAATAAAATACCATGTAACAATAAAAAATTTTTAGGAAAATAGTTTTTTTTTTCAAATTTTCTACTCTATGTGTAATAGCGGTCAATATTCCACATTTGAAGTATTGAGATTAATTGAGTTCTACTCAAATTTGAACCATTTTCAGTGCCAATAAATTTTCTTAGTCATCTCCTCTTTCACTAGGATATGGGGCAAACAGGCATCTCCAGGACTTTCAAAATATAGTCAAAATGAATTTTTAGTGTATATGAGTATATTGAGGTGAAACCTGTTTTGTGTGTTAAAATATAATTAGGAGCATACCTTGGGAGACACAATAATTTATTTACAAAATATCTTTTTAATTTTTCCAAAACTTTGCAGGGTTGGATAGCCCAAGCCTGCCCTGCTAACTAACCACCACCCGAGAGACTGACTTGTAAACTTCTAGTCATTACTTGAGTAGAGGACATTTTTATTAGCTATGAAATTATGCCAAGTAGAATTTAGACCAAATTTTGCATGACTAACTCTTTCAGAACAGTGATGCCCTAAGACTAATGCCCTAATAGCACTATGTTGTCTGCATGTAACAAACACCTAATATTTACTAGTAAGTTTAAATAATTAAGAATATTTAAGATTTCTAACCTAGCCCTTCTTCCAAATTTTCATATAAATCATTTATGAATTGTGCAAATAGTAAAGGGCTAAGTAGACTACCCTGTCTTAATCAAACTGAGGTTACAAAAAAGTCAGTAAGTCCTTCTTTATGATATACCATATCTTTAGAATATGAATGTGAGCTTCTTAACACATTAAAGGGGGGAGTCGTAGTACTACGATTTATCTTGACTGCTGCTTAAAGGCGGGAGTCGTAGTACTACGATTTATCATGATGGAATTTGAAAAATGTTTGTACTACGACTCCCATCTTTAATGTGTTAAGATATTTAAAAAATTATGGGACAGCTTAAGGTTAGCTAACTTACAAAATAGAGCCTCCCTATCTGTGCAATCAAACACTGCTTTAAGATCTATGAAAAATGTATAGACTTTACAACATTATTTTGCCAGTCAGTTTAACAATGCTAATAATAATAATAATAATAAGGCTTAGCGAACCCGAAGGATCGATGCCAATACCACCAATTGATGTTCTTCCATCCACTGGGCTCCGTCTAAACCCAACCCTGTCAAATCAGCCTTAACGCAATCTACCCACCTTCGCTTCGGTCTTCCTCTCAGACGCTTGCCAGTCGGTATTCCTGTCCTGGGCTCAGACGAAAGGAATTCTTTCGTTACTGAGCCCAGCTATTTTACATGCCCATTTTATTCACCTCAACTTAATCATCTCAATTATATTGACTGGATCACGCAATTCAGCGTTGTGTAAGCGCCTAAATTCTCTGGTTGACTCGTCCTTTTTCAGTCCAAATATTCTGCACAATACTTTATTTTCAAAAACTTTAAACCGTTGTTCATCCCGTAATGTAAGCAGCCACTTTTTGCATCCATAAAGAACTGTAGGTAGGATAATCATTTTGTAAATTCTAATTTTTAAGTTTCGGGACAGGAGGCGAGAATGAGTAATTTTGACTGAGAAAAATAACAAGCCTTTCCCGCCTTCAGCTTAACCTTAATATCCTCTTCAATTTCGTTTTTTCTAGTTATCGTAGACCCTAGATACCTAAAATCCTGTACATGTTCAAATACATTCCCTTCTATATCGATATCATCGAAACTGTCGCTGTTTTTGCAGCTAACCATATATTTTGTCTTATCTGTGTTTATCTCGCGTCCTAGTTCTTTATCAACTTCCATCAACGTTGTATTTAGTTTTATTGTTTCCATGTTCGCTTAATAGTAGCAAATCATCAGCATACCCAAGCACGGATATTGTTCCACTCAGGTTCAAACCTTTTTCGGTATGTATCACCTGTCTAATGGCATGTTCTAATGCCAAATTAAATAGCACAGGTGAAAGAGAATCACCTTGTTTTAATCCCGAACGAACCTCAAATTTTCCCGGGATTTTATACATTCACTGTCGAACTATTGTAGTTTTCCTAATTGTTTACCATTGTTTAACTGTTTGTATGGGAAGCACATTCCTTAATATATTCTAACAATAGCTTTAGTTTTAAATGTGATTCATTAACCTCATCTAATTTTTATGTTATTTAATTTTATTTTCTAATTTTAATTTAAAATATAATTCGCTCCGCCATGATCATCACAATCTAATAAGTTGGGGGCTTTACAATTCCTAATATTGTTTGCATGATTGAAGTCCAAGGCAACTTCAATAGGCATATAGTAAATTTTAGGGACAACTTTAAAATTTCAAATAGGATAAAGAATAATATTTCAAAATAGGAACGATTTCATAACAAATATCAATGATAGAGCTACTCCTCCCTGAAGTATGTATGAATTCACCATTGGAATCACCCATTGTATGACTATTTAATATTACTAAATCTAAATCATCACACATTTCCTAGAACAATAGACCTCTGCTATTTAAAATTGTGTTTTTAGATTTTCTATTGTAGTTGATTAAACATTTTTCCTGTGATATATTTACTGGAATAATTTGCCTCTCCGCCAACCTGCAAGAACATATTTTTTGTTAAATAATTAAAGAAAATTCAATAATCTTGAAAATCCTCATCCAAAGCTTCATCCTTTAAAATATCTCTTATTTCAGATTCGTTAGAAAATTCTGCACAAATAATTTTCTGATTTACATTATAGTTATCTATATGTCAAGAACATTTTATAATAATATTTTCTGCCATACCTAAGGTATTAGTGCACTGTTTAATACATTGTGTTCAATCCTTGGAAAATCTTATATTGATACCATTAATAATAACATTATTCTTCTTCATTTCCCTTTGAATAAATTTTACCAGACTTAATAGTACTTTGTTTGATTCTTGTTGTGATTGTAATTCCTGTCTTAACATTACATTTACTAAAGACAATTGTTCAATTTTATTTGCAATTTTTTATCAATGTACCCAAAGATTTAATAAATTGATTCAGGAATAGGTAGGTTACTAATGTATATGTCCTCAAAGGCCTCTGACAATTTTTTTTTTTTCACTTCTTTGTTATCCATGTCATCACTTTTTCTTTTTTTGCTTTTATCCAACACCATTTTATTCCAACATGAAAAATAAGTTTCCAAACCATTATTAGGTATTTTTTTTCTATAAAGCTTCAATCAAGCTTCCTAGCCCTTCCAATTAGGCAATAAAAGGTGTTATCGTAGGTTTGACCAGCATTTTGTTTTTTAAAAGGTAAGCTTAAAATTATATTAAATTTAGTTGTAATAGGAATTAAAAAGACTAAATTTTCTATCTTGAAGATTCTGAATGCTTAAATTTAGTTTAAACTTTTGATGGTATAATTGTACAGTGATCTTCAGTAGTCCTTGAATTGAATTTGTCATCGGAAAGAAGCATTTAAAATATTTGTTTATAATTTATGAATAATTTACTGTTGTAATATTTATAATGTTATATATTAAGTTTGATTCATAGTTTAAAAATTGTTTTCTTATTGTAATTTGTTATTTTTTGTTTAGTATCTTTTGTTGATGACACACAATTTGATCTGAGTTCTCTTCCTAGTGACTCTCCCTTAAAGCCACTGTTGCCTAAGGTCAAGGTAAGAAAATTTGTACTAAATCTGCTATTTTATCTATAACTCTCTGTTCTCTTATTGTTGATTACTCAATTTTATAGCTATCAACTTTATTATGATCATAATTCTGGATTTATATTTCATAAATAATTTATAGTTGATAAATTATTCTGAAGTTTTTAGTTGTAATCATTCTATTATAATTTACTATAACTTATAATTGTTTTTTTCAAGTTTTGAGAAATTAATCATGAAAAATTGATCTCAGTATGTACTATTGTATGAGGTCGCATTAATATTAGGTCTTGTAGGCCTGATACATCTTTGTGGTATTTTGAGAAAATAAATCTGCAGTTGAAAGTATGCGAATAATAGCAAGTAAATTATAATATGAATTTATGTTTAAGTCAACAGGAATGGTAAAAGATTCAAATGAATTAGAATCAATTAAATTCTTAAAATACTTTAAGAATTTAATTTATATTCAACTGGGCTGTTATTCTTGTGGGCTGTTATAACAGTAACTTTGTGGCTTGGTTTTTTTTTTTATAGCTTCTGCTTGTTGTTCAAAATCAGTGTAATAATATCAGGTAGCTCTAATTTCAAGCCATTGCTAGTTATCTCTTGATTCAAAGGTAGTTTTCAAATATTTTATATAATATTACTTTTTTATTCTTATTTTTTCTTGAATTAAGGCTTCATGTTACAGGGATAGGTTAATTTTTAAAAATATATATTGTCTTCCTATATTTTCAAAAAAATAAGGAAGTTGTTTTTTTGTTTTTTTATTTTATTTTTTTGTATTTTGAAATGATTTTCCTTACTTCAGTTCTACTTTTTCTCAAATTCATCACGGAAGTCAACATTTTCCTGTTTACAGAAGTTCAGGAGGATATTAATTACTACCATGGCTTGAATTATTTAATTTTTTTTTCTCCTTCAGTGCCAAAACTGTTGTCATTATAACTCTCACCATCCTCTAAATCAGGGGTTCCCAACCTTTTTTCAGCGGCGGGCACATTTATAGGTTATATCTTGAGTGGCAGGCATCATGTTTTTGTTCATTGAAAATTGCAAGTAGGTTACTGTTGATAAATTTAAAAAGCAAATGTAAATTGTATCAATAATATATATATATATGTATGTATAGTAGCAGACATCTTCATCATTTCTAAAACTAATGAAATATATTTCTACAGAAAAGGCGAAAATACCAAGTGCTATAATTGTATTAATATTATATAGTTTTCTTATGTTAAATTAACACATTTTCAAATTAAAATCAACATCAAAAGCAACATGGGCTATTACTAGTTATAGAATGAGTTAAATGTAATATTACCAACAGTTTCATTCATTTTTTTTACTACCAAAGAAAGAGATTAATTAAAACAATAGTAATGATATATTGATAAATGAATTATTGTTTTTAAATAATAATAATTATTATGTATATAATAATTATTATTATTGAATTTTATATCTATAAACTCTTGTTGGATTTTCAAATATTCATATATTTAATAAAGGAATTTGTAAAATATTTGAATTGAAAAATCGTCTATCTGCTGCACGCCACATAAAAAATTATGATGATTTTTAAAAAATCAAAATAAATTACAACTTTCTAAGTGAGTATTCTTTCAATTAATTATTTGATATTTATTAAAATAAATATTACATTTTTAATAGAAAATTTTTCGATCTGCAGCAGCCAACAGTAAAACTGTAGCCAAGGCGATAGCCGGTAAAGGTTATGTCAGATATAGATGGGCACAAGTGATGTAATGCGTGCATACTGTCATGGGGCACACTACGAGCTCTGGGTTGGGAACTCCTGCTCTGAATCATTCTGTTGTAATATAGAATACTTATTTGTGCTGCTCTGACTAGCTGCTATTTCACTGTCACTTGGGCGTTCAAATTCCTTTTCATTATCATCTATTTGTTGCTAATCATCATTGTGGCTGATAAATAAGACTCAATAATTTTTTCAGAATTTTTGGCCAGACTAAAGTCCAACACGGATAATTAAAACACTGTTAATTGTGGTTCTACTGTACTTTTTATGTTCATTTATTATTGAAAATTATATTAGTTGTAGTATTAGCATCAGCTTTTAAAAATGTTTGTCATCCAAATTTTAAAAGGAAAAAATCATGAGCCAGTAATGTAGATATTTTATTTCACTAATTTAATATTTGCAATTATAATCATATTTGATTTTATTTAGAACTAAGTAGTTATTATTTATATTTATAAATAAATATAGCTGTCAACTATAGAGTCATTATTTTTTATTCTATAGCAGGTTTTACTTTAACCATAAGAAGTATGTATTGATATTAATATAACAATTTTTTATCTCTTCATTTCTTCTTTGGTTTATATTAGGTTTTAGTATTTAGTCTTGTTTTTAATTAAATAAAACTCTATGTTATTTATCTATTAATTTTTCAGAGGTTTATGGATTGCGAGGGTTTTTCACCTAACTTTTCAAATATTTGTAATTTGGGTCTAACAACGGATTCTTCATCTATAGGTAGTAGTACTTCTTCCGTACAAAGTAATATGTTGAATGAATACCATATTGTAATTCAGGGAACTATTGGTAAGGTTAGTATTTTTTTCTATTACCTTTGTTCACTTTATTTTATTGTTTTTAATTTTTTTTTTTATTAATTTTAAATTACTTGTTGAATTTATTATACTTTGTCTCTTATTTACTCATGTATATTTATTAAAATATTTTCAAATAAAAGATGTAATTTTGAAACATTACATAACATGAAGAATACCCTTTTAATTCAGTCTCATTATTTTATTATTTTTTGGTTACTGGTTTTGCTTCTAGGAACCATTTTGGCTTTCGGTTATTACCCAAACGGTACACATGGCCAAACCACTACAATTGGCACTCCTCTATTACTTGTTTTACAAGCCTTATATTCAGTTCTTATCTTATTCTCTCATTCCTCCAGCGGTCTCTTCGTGTTTTTGCCTTGAACTCTCCTGAGGTATCTCATTTCTATAGCCGTTACTTTGCTTGTATGTTTGTCTAGGACTGTCCATCTCTCTAATCATATGAAAGGACAGGCAAAAATTCTGTTTTAAACAAAGTTATTTTGATTTTCTTCCTTATCTCCTGTTTCCCTAATATTATAGTGCAGATGGAGTTAAACACACCATCGGCCTTCTTGACTCTATTTAAAACCTCCTAGTCGATCCTTCCATCCCTGCTGAAAATCGTGCCCAAGTACATGTTATGAGAACTTGCTCTTCCACATCTAGGCCGACGAGCATCACCTTTCTTTTTGTACTGTTCATTTCCATCCTATTCTTCTGGAGCTCTTCCGACCATTCATTGACTGTCATCTGAAGTCTTTCTTGGGTATCCTCAACCAGGACCACGTCATATTCATGGAGGAGAGCTTGTGCCTGCACAGGAATTAAATTCCAGTATCCCACTGTTGCTCTGAGTGCTCTTATGCATATGATGAATAGTAGTGGGCATAGGCTATCACCTTGCTTGACGCCTTTATAAAACCTAAATGGCTCCGATTCAGATCCGTTAAGCTGCACTATTCCCTTGAGATCCTGGTATATCAATTGAATTGTGCTGATGAGATTGGATGGCAACCGTTTTTCCTGTAAAGCCCCCGACCTTTTGCAAGCTAGACCACTATTTTTGGTTCCAAGTAATTCAATTTTTTTATATTAGTAGGTGTATAGTGAATATAAAAAATCCAAGTTTCTGCCTTCAACTTTCTGTTGATTTGCTGCTGGGCTTCAAAAATTATTGAAATTTAAAACTTTTTTTTTGGTTTACGCTAAATATCTCCTTTTTAAAGCAACATAGGTAAAATAATGATGGTACTTAATCTAAAACAGTTTAAAATTTTTGTAGATAACATTTTTTTCTAAAGCCAACAGAAACGTGGGTAAAGTTTTGAAAATTCGCATAAAACATACATAATTGTTTATTAATTATCTGCTTTTATAGGTGACATATCTCATATTTTTAAATTCCATATTAAAGAACACACGATTAACTATAGCTTTTATAGGAAATACATTTCTCCAAACGTAATTACAAATCGCTAAAAAGAAATTAATATTCTGAAAATCGAAAAAACTTATAATTTTATTTTTACTGCTTTCCACTTATTCTAATTAAATTGGTCATCAACAATTACTGTTATCATTGTTACTTTTAAATGAACTTTATTCTAAAGTTCATTAACATATTTTTTTATAATTAATATTATCGAAATTACAAACTTTTGCGTTTTTATGGATTGTTACAATCTCAAGAATTGTTACAATCTCGGTTCAATTTCTTCAAGAAAAATTTGTTTGGACAATTAAATTATTTTATTAATATTTGTTTGTTAATACAATCAAAATAATAATGATCCAGAAGAGGACTCTAGGCGCGCGCCTATGCCAGTGCCACTTTTCTGCCGATTAAGTCAATTTACAATGTAACTGCTTCAAATATTTTAATAAGTAATTAGTGTTTTAGAAAGAGAAATGTATTCTCCAGATGGTTTATTTCAGGGCGTTTTTGTTATTGTTGGCAGTTTATTTACAAACGATGCTTGATTTTCAACTTAAGTTCAAACAACTTGAAAAATTAACTTTATTGTTGTTTTTTATTACCAAGGACAATTATTTTTAAATATTTTTTCATATTTATTATTCTCTAACCATCCAACTTTAATAAACAACAAATTATGAAAAAATTAAGCCAAATGCTGAATCTCAGGGACAGAAAAATCTAAGTCAAAGATGTCAATCCGCCATGCTTGGATTCTATTTCGAGACAGTGCGGCCACTTTTTTTTGTGGCCACTGTTTTTTATCTATAGTTATACAACGTATACAATTTATTCAGATATGGGGGGAGGGTGCACAGTAGGGGGTCTGGGTTGGGGGTCCACCTTGTATCAGACTTTTTAAAACACCTCCCGACTACTATCTACCATTCTGCTCAGTGGCTCATTATCTTCAAGGAAAACCTCCAAATTCTCTGGATGAGATTCCAAATGGATTTACAGAATTCTTCAGTCCAAAACTGAAAGAACACTATTGCGAAGAAATCTAAATAGATAAATTTGAAAGCTCCATAGTTCGCTTCTTGTTGGGTTTAGAAAAAAATGTTATATACAAACATGTTAGATAATTTTTAGCTATTTAAGATTGAATATAACCATTTTTTATCTATGTTGCTCTAAGAAGGAGATATTTCGCGTAATCCAAAAAAAGTATGAAATTTCAATGGTTTTTGGAGCACTGCAGCAAACCCGCAAGCCTTTCGAGTATGGAAAGTTGGATTTTTTATATTCACTACATACTTAACAATATAAAAAAGAAATTGGAATTTCCCCACCTTTAGCAAGATAACGTGTCTAATTTGACTGGGCTGATACTGTACAGAACCTTTTTTTCGCTGCGATAGATAGTTTTCCTGATATAAGCTAAAACCCGATAAAAGTGACCTTCTAGGCCTCTCTCCTCCCCCCTCTCCCAATCTGACTCACCAACTAGGAATGGGGGCTTAGAGTATGTTAACCTCCATTTTTTGTGCTTATTTTACTAGGCTATACATGTAAATCTCTAAGTATATATGTATATGTGTGTATATATATATATATATATATATATATATATATATATATATATATATATACATGTAAATCTCTAAGTATATATGTATATGTGTGTATATATATATATATATATATATATATATATATACATATATATACACACATATACATATATACTTAGAGATTTACATGTATAGCCTAGTAAAATAAGCGCAAAAAATACATATATATATATATATATATATATATATATATATATATATATATATATATATATATATATATATATATATACATATATATACATATATGTATTGACATAATTATTTAATCGGGAATAAAGTCACTTACTAATTATTCAATAAACTACTAAATGTTCATTGCTTCTGCTGTTTATTCGACGTTTCAATCCCTTTTTTTTTTTTTTTTTTTAAGTTAACAATGAGATCCTCTCCAAAGCTAGAACAACAAAATAGCTCAATCACTACGCAATTATGCTTCCATATGTTTCAAATTACAATTATTTAAAAATATAACCTACTTAACAGTCTCAGCACCGTCCACCAGCACAGATATTAAGCTACTTTACCACTAAGCATCTGCCCACCCCGGTCCTGTGTCCAAAGACAAAATATTACATACAAAATTGTTAACTTATAAAAAAAAAAACGGGATCGAAGTGTTAAATAAACAGCAGAAGCAGTGAACATTTAATGGTTTATTGAATAATTATTAAGCGACCTTATGCTCCCCCCATATCAAGCTCACCACCTAGTAGTGGGGTCTTATAGTATGTTTACCTCCTTACTAGTCCGAACAATGTCCTAAAGTCAAAAATTCTATACCTTTGCACATTCATTGACTGGACTAATACTTATTTCTAATCTTAATCCATCTTCTTGGATATTGTTCTTTCAATAATTATTTTTTCTTTCCAATCATTGATTGGAAGCTCATCATATCCAATCATCATAAGAAGCTCGAAACCTCCATGTAATGAAAAAATAATAAACGACTGAGACTGAATTAAAAGGGCATTCTTCTATTTTTTAGGAGGAGTTGATCGGGAGGGTGCGGTCAAATTAATAATAAATTAAACAAGTAGAATTATCTTATTTTTGCCGACTTTTTGACCCACTTTGCAGGTCTTCATCAGGGCTACAAAAGATACAAAACGTGGTGAAAATAAAATAAATGAATATGAGTAGATATGAAATAAGAATAAGTTGTCTGATACAGAAATAAAAAGATGATATCAGAGATATAGTGGGTGACAATGTAGTTAAAATATCTAGTATTATATGTAGAAAATACAAACAAAAATGGAAAATAAGTATGAATAAAAATAGAAAATAAAGGAGCATATAGCGTGTAAGTTAAAAGTAATCGATATTTGTTTACTTTTAACTTACATGCTATATGCTCCTTTATTTTCTATTTTTATTCATACTTATTTTCTATTTTTATTCATACTTATTTTCCATTTTTGTTTGTATCTTCTACATATAATACTTGATATTTTAACTATATTGTCACCCACTATATCTCTGATATCATCTTTTTATTTCTGTATCAGACAACTTATTCTTATTTCATATCTACTCATATTCATTTATTTTATTTTCACCACGTTTTGTATCTTTTATAGCCCTGATGAAGACCTCCAGAGTGGGTCGAAATGTCTCAAAAATTAAATAATTCTACTTGTTTAATTTATTATTAATTTGACCTCATCCCCTCATCAACTCCTTCTCATATTATATCAATGGTCAACCATCTCTACATCTTCTATGTTTTAGGAATAATATACAAATGTAATTTTATTATTATTATTTTCTTTATAGTTAAGACTTTTTGTTATTAGAGGAATTTAACTTTTTTTTTCTTGGAAAGAGACCCTAAAATAAAGTTATTTTTCTATTTTATAAAATATTAATTGTTGTATATTTTTTTCACATGCTGCAATGTAATGTTTTATTATTTTTTTTTTTTAATAGGGATTTTATGGTGAAGTGTATAAAGGCTTCATCGAATATCCTGATACCTCTGAAGTACAATATGTTGCTGTAAAGAAATTAATCACTGATAGTTCAACATATATAGCTGATTTTGAAAGAGAAATTTCTATTATGAAGGTGAATATTGTAGGATAAATGTATTTTAAAAACTATGTATTTTTTTTTGTTATAAAACTTATATATTTTTCTATCTAGTTTAAGTGAAAGATTTTACTTTTATGCATTAGAAAAAAGGAACAGCTGTATGTTATTGAAATTGCTTAATTGAATGTATGATATAGAATAATCAAAACTTTGAATGATTGATAAGCTTGGTTGAGATTTAGAGTAAAAAACATTATATACATTAACATTTTCAGCTTCAATGATTGATGTCCACCAAGATATTTTCTTAGTACTATTCCACTACTGAATTTTAACTTCCACACATGTGTTGCTAACTTACAGCAAAAATTAAAAGTTGACAGATAACACTCACTTCTCAATACTCTCATTTACAGTCATTAAAATGTTATGGAAGATTCTGAAGAACACATTTTAGGCGAGGAGAACTTCACAAATCAGTATCAAGGAAAGCTGATCAATAGAAAAACTGTGAAACTTTAGAAGCAGGTTTACTAAAGTTTAAGACAATTTTTCTATTGTTAAATGTATGAACATTTTGAATTAATTTAATCGTTGTGATTTATGAGCTTCTGTTCACCCGCTTGTTAAATTACCTACCATGACGTTTTAGTGATGGCTTGTTGTTACTTTTTTTTTTATAACACTGAGAAAACATCTTGATGCAACTCAAGGAATATTGCAACAGTCTCAGAACTGAACAGAACACAGTCACAAACAATTTTACTTGGCATAGATAGATTCATATCTTTAAAATATTTATGCATCAGCAACTAAATGCTAATGAATATAATTTTAAAATTGAGGAGAACACCATAAATTAGTATTGAGGAAGCTGGACCTATTAATAAACATTTTGAATTCAAACCATCGATTTCTAATTAAATATCTGAAAAGTAATAATGAAGTTGGGAATAAAATAATCAAAAATTCTTCAATTTTGAAAATATTAGAATGTTTTTTCAGGACCTTTCATAACTTTTAATGATTTTAAATAAAAATATGAAAAAAGCTGTTATTTGCAATTTTCAAGTTTTAGCCGCATGTGTCACGTCAAAGTTTAAAATCAATAAATGTTTTTGAAACTATACCAGCTGTGTTAGTATAAAACCATAATTTAGTTACCCATGATTTTTGACATTTAGGATATCAAAATATATTCAATCGGATGAAGAAATTATTTTATTTTATAAATTGTACAAGCAGCATTTCGGAGGTGATTTACTAGTTTTCTTGCCATCTTTCATTCAGTTCACGTGAAACCCATTTTCCCATCATCTGGATCTTTCCCGTGGCTTTCAAACATATAGAGACAGCTTCTCATGTTACATTCAATTGATCTGCGAGTTATTGTTGAGTTTGAGCTTCATCCTCATCCAACAATGCTTGCAATCATATGTGAATTTTTTTAACTACCCAAAGAACTCTAATTTACCTAGATCATCCTCACATCAGCTTTGACAAGCATTTGATGTGATTCTGCTGCAATTTGTGATAAACGGTAACAGCAAACTAATGATTTCCACAAATTTTAGTTTATAGGTACAAACATGACATGTACTCTTTTAAAACACTGCTGTTATATGAAACTTGTATTGTTGTAAGTTGAAATCTTTGCCAGCTGTCAAAGAGACAAAATGGCACCAATAATGTGGTTTAATAGTAACTACATTAACAACTAGGGCCATCTGAGAATGAATTCATTTTTTATTAGGTCAATCTGTTTGGCCATAAGAATCAATTTTGTTAATTTATATGGGACACTCTCATATTCATAGGCAAGTGCATTTGTATTCATAATCATATTTAAATTTTTATTTATTATAGAGCCTGAAACATCGTAACATTGTTGAGATGATAACAGCTACTCAGCACCCGGAAGTAAGGCTTATAATGGAGTATGTTCCACATGGTTCGCTTAAGTGTTACTTAATTACTAACAAATCACAACTTAGAATCAAAGATCATCTACTGAGATATGCATTAGACGTAGCTGAGGTATGTTAGTTTGATTGTTTTTTAGTATTATTTTTACTTGAATATGTATTTTCTATCTAAATTAATTATTGACACAACAAACATTGAAAAAACTGACTAGGATTAAATTGAACTGACTAGAATTTTAGAATAAATCTGGAAATCAACTCAATAACAAATAATGGAACAAAATAAAGCATGAACAACTGTTAAAATTGAGTTTAAAGTATATTTCAAGTACATTTAGTAATAACTTAAATTCTCCAACCTGGCTGATTATTTCGTCCTGATACTTTGATATTACTTATTACTGGACTAGGTATCATTACCAATAATACTGATTAATTGGCTTTGATACTTTTACATGTCAACCTCTTAGCTTCATCGTTTGAAGGATGTTTTTAACTTTAATTATTTTTTCATAATAATTATTATCATCACATACTTTTTCACAACAGCTTCTTAAATCTTTATCTTTGTGAACTCCGATAACTTCTTTTCTTAGATATAATTAATGACTTTCACCTTGGTACCAAGTTGAAAAATCTTTCATCATAATATTCTTTTCATCTGGTGAACATCAATTTCCCTTGAAGAAGCAACATGTCGAGCCAAAGCTTTAGCTCTTTTTTTTTTTTTTTGTGGATTCCACCTAATTTGTTTGAATTAATTTCCCTTGTAGGAATAATAAATTTAAATTGTTATGATGTTATTGTTATACTGTTATTTGTTTGCTTTTTCTTTATATATATATATATATATATATATATATATATATATATATATATATATATATATATATATATATATATATATAATTGTTTTTTCCATTACAACTATAGGTATTCTTGAGAAGATTTTATTTTATTTTTTAGTTGTTTATATACTATTATTTAAATTATTTTATATATTGTTAGAATCTTTATTGAGTTAATTTTTGGCCAGATATCTAGTTTTTTCTTTTGTATTTATTCATTATTGTTATTCTAAGCGGACTTTGTCCCAGGAGAAAGTTTATTTTCTATTTCTATAAATAAATTATTATTTTCAAAGTAATCACTCATACTTACAATAAATTATTAGATATTTATTAAAATATATATTCAATGTTTTATTGTAAACTTGTCAATCTGCAGCAGGCAACAGTAAAACTGTTGCCAGGATGATCATTGATGAAGGTTATGTTAGACATACGTGGATACAGTTTTGCTCATGGGCAGGAGTGACGCCTCACAGACAGAAGGTTGGAGATCTCTGCTGTACAGAATTTCATCTCAAACTCATTTATTTTCATCTCAAACTCATTTTATAAAAAAAGTTATTCATGTTAAGAAATGATTTTATTCACAAGCGTTTTGTTTCAAACTTGTTACTTCCACTCTTACTAACAATATGAATCGTATCATACTAAACTTGTTTTAATTACTCTAGTCCTTATTTGACTCTATATTTACAGATAGGTGTTGACTTTAATGAGTTTGTGTTGGTTTATTTCTCTGCTATAAAATAAGTATTTCTAAAGTATTTTTAATGTAATATTATCTGTTTCCTCAACTATGTCAGCATAAAATTTTGTTAATTGAATTTTTTTAAAAATTGTTGGAGGAAGTTAGTCGACAGTTCTATAGCATAGGTGATAATAGTCAGGACGCAGTAATTTTAAGATTTTTATAATTGTTGCTGACCTTTCAACCAAGCATGTGGGTCATCATCAAGATATGTATCCAGTACTGAAGGTGTTCTCAAGTACTCAATACCTGGAGTGCTTAAACACCTTCAGTACTGGAAACATGCCCTGATGATGACCAAATGCTTGGGTTGAAACTTCGGCAACAACAATGAAAATCCTAAAATGACTGCATCCCCTGAATATTTATCACCTTTAAAAAATATATAATATTGTGTAGACTTTAGTTCTTAAATGTTTATCTAAATTAAAAAATCACAATATTCAAGTATAATCATTTTGTTATCTGTAATATGTTTGTTCACAGGGAATGGCATATTTAGGGCAAAAGAAAATTGTTCATCGAGACTTGGCTGCAAGAAATGTTCTTGTAGCAAATGAGTTCCATGTAAAAATATCTGATTTTGGGTTGGCCCAGAAAATGGAGCCTAGTAATTATTATATGTTGAAAACTCCTCGAGAATTGCCTGTAGGCTGGTAAGTTATGTCTACTTTTCTGTAATAGCTTAATATGCTAATATAGACTAAATGAGATATTAATTAATAAAGCTATGGTACTTGAAATATCAATTTCTTTTTTTTATGCTTTTCTTTTCTTTTCTTTTTTTTTGTCTCTTTGTACTGTTTGAAAATCTAATTTAAACAAGTTATTTATGAAAACTAGATTTTATAGTTACAACAAAATTCCTGAATTTCTGAAATGGCTTACTCTGGATGGATAAGCTTTTTAGTTGGGACTATAGTTTTGTAATGTTCTTGTGTTCCCTTCCTAACCTAGTTACCTAAGGTGTAAAGCTAGTCTCCATTACCTATCTAACAAGAATGGAACAATGCTTATTAATTTTGCTGTCTCCAGAGACATGATCATTTGAAGCACCTTTTTCGCACATAAAGGCACCTGGACCACACCAGATAGGGAACATGTTAACTAAATAGATCACATCCTTGTCGATAAAATGCAAAAATCCAGCATTCAAAGTCTGAGAACATTTCGAAGTGCCAATATGGATTCGGACCAATTTTTGTGTTGTGTATTGCCCACATCACTCTTAAGATCTCCTTCAAAAGGTCTGCAGGCCCAGATGTAAGACCTAAACATTATAATCTTAGAAAGCTACAAGAACCAGATACGAAACAGTTGTATATTGAGCAGCTAAATAAGAACTTCTGTGTTCAGGCTGTAGGTACGGAAAACACAGAATCTCTCTGGTCCAGCTGTGTACCGCAATGCAGGAAACAGCTGATAATTTACTGGGACTGAGAGAAAGGAAGTGAGTTCACCATGGTTTGACGGATAATGTGAGACAGTCGCTAATACAAAAAATACAGTTTATAAGAGTGTGTTGAAGAAAAGGACTCGAAGAGCTGTTGAGGAATATAAAAAGAATATGAAAGAGGAAAATTAACTTCATGTAAGAAACAAGAGGCAAAGAGAGAAAAAAGAACTGGAAACGACTGAAAAATACTGGAAGGAGAAAAAAAAATCAAGAGAATTTTTCAGGAGAATCAATCGATGGAGAAGCCCTCAATCAAAGGTAATGAAAACTTGTAGAGACAAGGATGGGAATACAGTGGTCTGCAAGAATGACATTAGATCATAATGGAAAAGTTACTTTGAGGAGCTACTCAACTCAGCCTCCTGTCGATCAGAACCTAGAGAATACTTGACAGTCAGGAACCAGGAAGTTAACCTTCAACCACCTGATGATGAATAGATAATGGACACCATTCATCGGCTAAAGAATAATAAAGCACCTGGAGTTGATGACCTACCTGCTGAACTCCTCAAGAATTGAGGTGATGAGCTGATGAAGAGATTTCAGAATCTTGTCTTAACCATTTGGGAGAAAGAGGTTTTACCGGAAGATTAAAAAAAGTCAATCATATGCCCTATTTTCAAGAAAGGATACAAACTCCAATGTTACAAAGGTATCTCTCTTCTCTTTTGTGGATATAAAATCTTATCTAACATCCTATTCCAGTGTCTACTACCCTTTGCAGAGCAGGAGCTTGGTCTCTACCAATGTGGATTTAGACAAGAAAGATCTACAACAGATCAAATATTCTGCCTCTGAACAATCCTTGAGATAAGAAATGAATATAAAATTACAATCCATCATCTTTTTGTAGGCTTCAAGGCTGGTGGTTAAAGGAGGGAAGAGTTATCCATGCCGGCTGTTTTACTTGGCACTTGAGAAGGAAGTGAGGGATCCAGGTTTGCAAATTGAATAGATAGTTTACAATTGGATGGTCCAGCTGTTGGCCTACATGGATGTCGTGGAGAGACTATCAATATTGGCCTCTAATTTTGAGAAAGTGGTTCAGTTCACATATTTGGGATCACTGGGGACTCAAAATAATACACCTGTGGTTGAGTTGAAGAAAAGAGTACTGATTGCCAACAAGTGTTACTTTAGCCTCTCCTACGAATTCACCTCTCGTCTTCTATCTCGTATGACCAAGCTTTATTTATACAAAATATTAATTCCCCCAGTTTTGTTGTATGGATTAGAAACATGGAAAACTAGTAAGAAAATTGAACAAGATCTAGTTTTCAAAAGAAAAATTCTTCGAAGAATTGTTTGAGGAATTCATATTGATGGAGGATGGAGAATATTGTGGTGGACGAATATCGAAATTTATTCAACTTTTGATGATGAAGGTATTGTTCAAAAAATGAAGTTTGGGAGATGGAGATGGGCTGGCCACATGGTTAGGACGGATGACGAAGCAATCTCTAAAAAGGTTCTGATGGAACCTGTCCATGGCATTAGAAGAAGGGGAAGGCTAAAACTCAGATGGTGAGATCGTGTTGCAAAAGATGCACGTGATATCCTGGGAGTCAGAAGTTGGATGATGGCTGCACAGAGCAGAGATGAATGGAGGAAGCCAAGACTTGCCACCAAGTTGTAGCGCCAAGATATATAAATAGATAACATAAAGGATATGAAGGAATAAATAAATGAAATAGAAGTTCATTGGGGTGAGCAGTCCCAACTAAAAAAGTAAATAATAAATAAATATAATTTATTTATTTTTACTTTTTTACTTGTGACTGCTCACCTCAACTTGTCTTTATTATATTAACGACAGTCAACAATTAATCCACTATTAAAAATAAATGAAAGAAGGGATCGAAACATCAATTAAGGAAAAATATGTTATTTCATTTGGTAAGAATGTAAAGATTTTGTATTTTTATTAATTTCTCTCCATGAGATAGTTTGTATTTTTGTCTGTTAATAAAATATGGTTTTTATGAAAAAAAAAAAGTTCCTTGAATATTCTAATTTGTTTCAGGTATGCTCCAGAATCCTTAAGGGATGGAAAATTTTCTAATCTGTCTGATGTTTGGTCATATGGCGTTTTGTTGTATGAAATGTTTTCTTTTGGAGGTGATCCTAATATACTGACTGAAGGGTCAGATCCAAAGCTGCTTCTTCAGGTTTTGGAATCAGGAGCTCGATTGGGTTGTCCTGAAAGATGTACCTGTGAAATATATAACGGGCTTATGAGACCTTGCTGGACATTAGAAGCTAAAAAACGTCCTTCATTTTTAGATATTATGAATATTATTAATCAGTTGTCAGCTAATCTCTAATCAACTTGCTGGCTCACCTTCCTAATTGTTGTAACTTGATTCTTACTCACATTTTGGTGAATATAAGACTGAAAATAAACATTATAGAAAGAAATTGGCTGATTATTAAACACTCAATAGGAAAACAAAATGTGATGTAAAGTTTTTAGTTAATGACAACCAGTATTATTTTTAGATGCCAGTCACATCTTTTAGATAAATAAGATCAAGTTATCATTGTTTTCATTTTGTATTAAAGTTTTAAATTCCATCAAATCACTTAAAGTTATAGATAACAATTGTTTTTAGTATTAATAGTTGAAACTATTTTATAACATCAAATTCATGATTACTAATCTTAATTGACTAATTTTGTGTTAACCTTTTTAATTAATAACTGTGATTTAATGAATAAGTTATTTATAAAAATAAACTCTTATTAAATATATTTTTCATATTTTAAAGTTTGTTAGTCAATTTAATTTTGTAAGAATGACACTACTTCCTGTATTGTGTTTATTATTGCTCAATAATATTTAATCTTCATTTTGTACATACAAATATTAAATATTTATATATTTTTTTATATGACTAGCTGTAACTTAAATTTGATTTTAATATTTGTTGGTATAGTTTATTTTTAAAGTTTAAGAATAAGTTGCCATTAATTTTCTATTATTACTGTTTAAGTGACAAATACATATCTAATTTGTTATATTTTTTAATTGAATGTTTTGATTACTCCAAAAATATATAGGACATTTTATGATCACCATAAATAACTTATTTGGTTACCATATAGGAGATAATAATTTTAGAAATGTTTTTGTAATAACTAGTCTAATGACCTTTAGTAGCTGTCATTAATAAATTATATACTTCTATGAATGTTTATGATTAATTGATATTGTCTCCTGTTAATTATTAAAAAAAAAAAATTTTTTATCTCATGCTCATTGTTCATTATTTGTATTTCCACATTCTTGTCCACTAATTCTCTCTTTATGTTCAAATTATTGAATTTATTTATATAACTGTGCACCTCTTTAATTAATGAATTGATTTATAAGGTAATATCGCAAATAAAACCTTGAATTTGACTATTGTACATGTATTTTTTCAAAAAGTGAATTTAATTTAATAAAATATTCATATGGAAATGTAATTTTCTATGTAAAGGAAATGTATAATTGAGAAAGGGTATGGTCAGGGAAGCCTTGCTGGCTTGCCTGACACAGGAAGCATTGACTGCCTAAGGACATTATAATACTTATAATGCAAAGGAGATAAATCATAAAAGGACCCAAAATCTTCAGTTAAAATGGCTACCTCAGGTCTTACTGATGTTTAAGAAAATATGGATAGGGCAAAGTTTATAATAATAATAACCTTTATTTGTGCATACAATGAAAAAACAATGGATAAAAATATTCAAAATCTCTTATATGTACAAAATCAACTTAGTTGAGGTTTTGAGTTCGATTTATTTTTTTTTTAAATATTTTTTTTTTATATTTGACTTTCTTGTAACCACACTAGGTAATGAACCTGTCCCATCCTTTTCCATTCTTTCCTCTCCAATGCTACTCTCTTCCAGGCTGCTCCCCCGCAGGTCTTCTTCATCTCCTTGTCCCAGTCTGTCGGCGAGCGTCCTCTCTTCCTCACATGCTCTCTTGGATACCAATCCATAAACTGTCTGGTCCATGTTAATTCATTCCTCCTGATTACATGTCTGGTCCAGGTCCACTTCCTGATGAGCACTTTTTCCACAATATCTGGAAGGTCAGTCTTAGCTCTGATCCATTTGTTTGTTTTTCTATCCCTTCGAGTTATCCCCAGAAGATATCGCTCCATTCCTCTGACGGTTATCCTCAATTTATGGCAAGTCTTCTGGTCAATTGCCCATGTTTCACAACCATATGTCATGACAGGAAGTACTGTGCTCACCCAAAGTTTTCTCTGTACCTCTGAGCTCACCGAGGATCTATATATATCCTTAAATTTGAAGAGTGCGCGCCATCCCTGGGTACATCGCCTGATTATTTCTTCATTTTGTCCTTTAATTGAGATAAGGTGCCCAAGATATAGAAATGGATCTACTTTCTCTATATGGTGTTCGCCTATTTTTATATCTCCCTCAACGTTCACTGACATATAATTGCATTTTTTATAATTTATTTTCAGTCCTATGTTTTCTCCAGCCTTTATTAATTGGTTTGCCATTGTTAGGATTTCTTCTATATTTTTACCTATTAGGACTTGATCATCAGCAAACTCTAAATGGTTCAGCCACTCTCCAAACATTTTCGTTCCTTTGTTCTGCCAATTCATAGTTTGCATCAAATCATGGAGAACTGATATAAGGCAAAGCTTAAGTAACATAAAAAAAATAGCTTACTTAAAGATAGCAAACATATTCAGGAAAACTTCCGGGCATACATGAATAGGATATCAGTTATCATTGTTTGTTATCATATTAACAGCAATTTACTATTTCTTGCTGAATTAAAGAAGTTGTACCAAGCGAGAAAAATTGTAACAATAATAGTCTTACGTATCTGGTGAAAATTATATTAAAAGAGATATATCTCCCAATAAAATGTTCCAGTCTTGCTATAAGAACTTGGTTTCATACTAAGGTACCAAATCTTGGAACATGGTCTGGGCATCCCTTCTGTAAAAGGGACATTTAGCTGCATGCATATACTGTTAGAAGCCTGCTAGTAGTGATTAATTAACTGGCTGAATGAACTGACCCCTATGACATTCATACCTTTTCCAGTGCAAGCACGCAGAGTGGCATTGACACAATACTAACTAACCACATCAATTAAACTGTCCGATTTAAGGAGCTCTGACCACCAAATGATAGTTTTTATGCTAAATGAATGAGAGATAGACCAAAGCTTTAGTGGATTGATCTCAGAAAAAAAAGATGATTAGAAGGGGCCACTAGCGTATCCAGGTTTAAATTTTTTGGGGGGAGCTACCGCCCTACAGCTTTTTTTTTTTGTATATATGCATAACAATAATTACTTTGGAAGAAAAATAAAACTAACTATGTGGAAATAAAACTGTATGAAATGGTGTTTAAGTGGTTCTAGAAGTCCTATTAAATGTACTTGCATGAATAATACTTTTTGGGATAATTTTTTGTATAAGACATGGTTATATTTTACCATTTGGGAGGCTTATGCTTGAAAGCCTCCCTTCCACCCCCGTAGATCCGCCTGTGGAAGGGGCAGTCAAGTTATGTAACCACTATGCTTCTCCCTGTCCATCTGTACCATATCCGTTCCAATTCAATTTCTCTTCTCAGAAGGGAGTTTTATGGCGCAAGTGCGTTATATCTTTGAGAGAGTCATATCTTAATAGATTTTTGAATTTTTGAGGGGAGCACATTTCAATGAGGTTTTGAATTTTTGGAACGAAAAGTTTCAGAATAAGGGACATGGGACAGATAGTAGCAAGTCTAATTATATATTATCTAGGATTTATCTAATTATACTTTCTCTTGCTCTATTTTTAAGAAAATGTGTGCAATAAAATATCTTGGGATGGGGTGTGAGGAGAGTAGATTCTTGCACCATTGACCTTGGGGGAAGGGGGAGGGGAGCACCCCTGCTTCTCGGTGTTGAAGTGTGAAGTTAAATTGGCTGGCATAGATTTTCTTATTTGATTAAAATCGCATTAAAATGTGAGGGTTTCAGTGTTTAATCATTGAGTTGATGAATTAAACTAAAAGCATTATACCTTGCTGCATGGTATTTGATGTTGGTCAAAAGTTCACAGAATATTTTAATTCGTTCCGATGATCAATTTCTTGGTACAAAGATTGTCGTGGTAAAAAAAAGTATCGAAAACAAAATTAACATTTAAAACAAAATTGTGCGGAGAGGCTGAGTGTAGATCAGGGCCACCGAAGTGTGAGAGCTCTACGATAGTCGCTGAAAGAGGACGCTTTTAAAGAATGGGCCAGTTGCCGGTGGCAAGGCTTTGGAGTAAGGCATTTTAAAGAGCTAATAAGTATATATGCCAGAAAAAAAGTACTTTCGGGGTCAGAATGGTCCAATGCCTTAAAACTCAATATAAACAACGCGCCTTTGCGTGGAGTCCCCGGAGCCAGTGGACAGTCGAAGGAAGTTGGGTCCCTCTGTCGCAAATGCGGCAGAGTATGAAACACCTGTCCATGTGCTGTGTAAATGCACCAACAACCTCCTCCAACCAACACTTGGTCACCACAGTGGCATGTTCGAGTTAATGAGGCTCCTTAGGGGAAGGGAATTCACCTGCTTTGACGAGGTCTATTGTATCGATAGTGAAGGCTCTACAAGATACGCGGATATTTTCGCATTTCCCAAGTCAGGAAGGACAGCGTTGATCTTGGATTCAACTGTCCTCTTTGAGAGCAATGACCTCGATCAGGGGGGTGAAGTGGAAAGGAAAAAGAAGAACACATATGATAAATGTATCCCTTTCCTAAAAGAGAAATTCCGTGAGAACTTCGGAGAGAGAGAGTTCACCGTGAGAGGCCTCTGGTTTGGATCTTGCGGAATAATTCCAAAAAGAACTAGGAGCTTCCTCGAGGAACTAGGTGTCGACATTAAGGACGTAGTGAGGTTGGCTGAAAATATAGTCCTCGACTCCCTGGGAATCATTCACCACCACGTGCATGTGTAGGCTGAGAGTTTTAGTTTATGTATTTCTTTATTTATTTAATGAAAAATGTCTATTGTATTTGTTTTTTATTGAATTCTATTTAATTCTAGATGTATACACTTTTGTTTTTTGTTATTGTTCTATTATAATTTTAATATTGTCTATAAGACAGGTGTATAAAGTGAGAGAAAGGGAAAGTAAATGTTATAAAAAAAGCATAAACAATGAAAGGAAAAACATATATATATATATATTTCCTGAAGGGGATCAGGGCCAAGAAAGCTAATTATTGAGGATTATGGCTATTGGTAAGCATATTGTAATTATTGGTAGCAATTTCTATATTAAAAATATAATATATATATATTATACTCATATATACTAACCACTTCTGTATATTTATATTTAAGTTTTATTTATTATCCTACGGATTAACTGGCATGCTGTGTGTATAGCAAACCAATATAATTGGGCATAAAGCTTTTATATTTTATATGAAAATAAAGTGTTTCTCTCTGACTTAAAAGCAGATATGGGCAAATACTACTCTGAATACTGAGTACCAAGTATTTTACTCAAATATTAACCTTTTTTGGGTACCTAAGAATTTAATTACTACTTCAGTTGATG